ACACCATTTGACACTAGGTGGCAGTATTCATGTCAAATACTTTTACGCATGAATGTTCTAGGCATGCAACTTTTCCTCAGATCCGCTGATTTCCTTGTTATTTTACTTCTCATTCTGAATGCCATTAAGCCCAGTTCATACTCGGCGCGAAAGCGAATGCGAATTGGTGACATCATGGCAAGTATTCGCGCTGCGAATTCGAAAAGTTGAACACATTTTAACTCGGGCAAATTTCGCAGCGAATGTTTCTTGACGTCAAATTTGCTTCGCATTTGCATTCACACCAAGTATGAACCGGGCTTTACAAATGAAAAAAATACTGTACCGGTACAAAGTCTTGTGTGCCTTGGAATTTCCTCGTTTTTTTGGCTTACATATTTTCCATACTTATTCAATTAAATAAATTTATTCATGTGTACCGGGACATGAATCACAATTTATTTAATTATAAAAGCGTGGGAAATACGGATCTGTAAATGAAAAAAAAATGTTTTTGTAACATGAATCTTGTCAATTATCAGTCATGGTTGCCAGAATTGGTTCATGTTTTTGGTTTTTTTCCCCTGAGTTTTTGAGATACTTGTTCATGTAATTTCCACAAATCAATTATTAGCCTAATAGTAACGATACTAAACGATGCATGATTATCATCTTGGCATGGAGACTGTAATTGTAGTCTGGTGCAAGCTGCGTAATGAGAACCTCCGATGTACATACCGGGTACATGTACAGTCTGATGATAATCTCTTTAATTTTCCATTCTACTGCAGCTCACTTCAATTAATTCAGGGAACTAAGCCTAATAATAAAGGAGTACCAATGCAATTAAGGTGGTTGATGCATGGTTTAAACAAAATAACGGCTTTTGACGATTCGTTGTTTTTAACTACCATATCGCAGTTTATTTTGGGAACTACCGGTAGGCCTAATAATAAAGGAGTACCAATGCAATCAAGGTGGTTGATGCATGGTTTAAAGGGAAAATACAACATTTGCAAACATCAAAAAATAAAACTACCAAATCATTTTGAAATACCTTGCTGGACTGTTAGTGAATGACAGTGTAAAGCATCCTGTAAAATCATGGCACCTGGTATACTGTCATTTTCAAGAAAAGTGGTATTTTTGTATCAATTTCCAACGCTGGTCGGCCGACCAGCGTTGGAAAAACTGGCTTTTTGTCAAATACTGGCCCCAACTGACCATCGCACTTGTTTGCAATCGATTACAAACCTATGAACGGGTACAAGCCAGCTACCCGGTAGACTCCCTGACCTTACAATTCCCCAATGTATGTAAACTGCTCTGTTTCTTCTTATATGGAGTCAGGGAACCAGACTACAGGAAAATGATTGTTTTTCTTGGTTTTTATACCATTTTTGAACCCAAAACCTCAAAAAAGTCAGTGTAACTATATTTGCTATATATTTCCAATCCCCCAATTCCATCCATTTCTGAAAATTACAGCAAAAGCAAATGATGTATATTCCCTTACAAAATTATGGCTTTTGGCAATTCGGTGTTTTTAACTACCATATCGCAGTTTATTTTGGGAACTACCGGTAGGCCTAATAATAAAGGAGTACAATGCAATTAAGGTGGTTGATGCATGGTTTAAACAAAATTACGGCTTTTGACGATTCGTTTATTTTAATGACCATATCGTAGTACTGTATATTAGCAAAACGTTGTCCAAAAAGGTCAGGCAGGTAATATAGGGAGTCCTGAATGTGGGTGGTCGTTGCAGGGTTTAAATGTGCATTTTGACGTTTCATTGATTTTCATGACCATACGGTAGTTGTATAAATTTATATTTTGATAATAAGGTTTTCCAAACAGCAAACGATTAAGGAATTGGGGCGATTCGCAATGCAGTGCGCCACCAAGAGTTTGCCATGGAGAGTCCATTTTGCAAGTTTACGGTCAACAAAACACAGCCCATTTGAATGAGTGTCATTTAGACAAACTCGAGCTAAGTTGTTATAGATTGGGGCATAGCGTTCTGCCGCCTTACAAAAAGCACCATAATAATAAAAAGAAAAGAAAGGGCAAACATATACTCGAATGTACAAAAGTACTGACCGGAAAAACTAAGAATTTCAAATGTCCCGCGCTGCGAATTTGTCGACCATCTTCCACAATGCACTGGGAAAAATTAACTCTCCGTGGCAAACTCTTGGTGGCGCTCTGCATTGTGAATCGCCAGAATTGTCCAAGAAGTATTCTATGGACTCCGTAAATGCGCAGTAGATGACACTTTGTATGGTGTAAATCGAGGATTTTCTTTTGTTCCTTTTCCCTTTTCGTTTTTTCGCAACAGTTCTCATTGGTTTTGTACACGTTTTCTAATCGAGGACGTCCTCCATTTGGTTCCTGTCCTCGATTCACCGATGATATTGCACCTGTGTGTCCTCGATTCACACCATAAACAAACGCAATGTACACGTGTATGTCCATACTCGTTAACTCACAAATGGAGCGAAGTACCGCTATGCGCGGCAACTTTTTTTCCCTGTAGAATTTTCGCATGAGCATCAGACGTCATCGGCAGTGCGTTTGAATGTCCCTCCAGGTCTCCTCCAACTCTCTGTTACCATTTAGGGGGTACTACATGTAGGGCGCTGTGGTCCAATGGTTACGGTGTTCGACTCGTGTGCCGTGGTACATGGGTTCGAATCCTGACCGGGGAACATGGTGCTTGTGCTCTTTAGCAAGGCACTTTACCATTATTGCTTCGTCCTTCGGATGGGACGTAAAGCCATAGGTCCCGTGTGTTGTGTAATGCACGTTAAAGAACCCAGTAACACTTATCGCTAAGAGAAGGGGTTTGCCCCGGTGTTTCTCGCAGTGGCTGCAATGTGCGCCGCAGCACCTTTTAAACCATTATAAGGTGCTACATAACGGGTCTCATATTTCTCATAAACTTTATTTACCTTTCTTTAATAATTGACATATTTTCCAGCGCCTTGAGTACCTAATTGTTGGTAGATACATGCGCTATACATTTGTAAGACTCCATTATTATTATTATTATTATTAAGAAAGTCTTTTAGAAAGTATTGAATGTGGTTGGTTGTTGCAGGGTTTAAACATGTACATGTACTTGTTGATGACCTGATTGATTTAAATGACCACATGGTAGTATGATATATTATAAAAAAAGGTCAACCAAAAATAGCAAACTCGTTTGCATCAAATAAAGAGCTTAAGAAGATATTGAGTATGGGTGGTTGTTACGTGCCGGTTTACATGTTTGCATTTTGACGGCTTATTGATTTTAACGAACATCTGGTACTTGGTAGTACTTTATTTAGAAAAACGTCGTCCAAACACTGAACTTTTCAATTTGGATCAAAATTTCAAAGAGGTGTTCTTTTACTTCCGTACTTTTTTTCAGCGAAGCGGAAAATCATGGCACCTGCCCCGTACTTTTGCCAATTCTAAAGTTTGGTTGCACGCACATGTTGTACGGTATATGATGATCGTGCGATATCTTTTGTGCTTGGCCTGGTTCTGTCCTTGTCAGGTTTGTGGCTCAACATTTCTTGTCGAGGTGAAACCTTGTCTGTGGACCTGACTATAATATTTGCTCTGTAATGGACCTTACATGTACAATGTAGAAGTTATTGATGTATGTGTAAGTTTTGGTGAACTCTGTCACTGGCATGTATGGAGCCCTCACCCAACCCCTTTCTTTTGTATGATTTAATGTATCTCGGTAACAGTATAAGCAATGCAGGAATTGTGCTTGGTCTTCACACCACAAAATGCCAGGTTTTGAACAAAGACTAATAATAATTTATGTGGTGCTTATAGCGCTTTCAAAGCACTTTACAATTATTACATGTATACTGGCGAACCCAGGATTTGGTTTTTAGGGGGGGGGGGCTCAAAATTATTTTTTTTTTACAAATTTGCTAAAAGTTGAATTTTTTTCACAAAATTTTGCCCAAAATTAGGGCGGCCTATAATTTTGACGTTTGTGGCACCACTTACACCCCTATTATTCTACTCGAAAACAGGCCACATTCATATTACCAAGGCCAAATCGTGGGCCAAAAAAAAAAAAAAATACAAAAAAAATATTTGACAACCTCTGGTGCGCCACTGAATTATTATCCCTATTCATTAAATAGAATGGGAAAAGGTTGAACGGTCAGACTCTGAATTCCTCAGAACTGTGTTACTGTATCTTTCTTTGCTTGGAGCGATGAACCAGGGTTTGTATCAATTGGGAAGTCCATTATTGTTGAATCAGCTATCAGGCCACCATGACCTTGCTGTAACCTTTTAAAACTCTAGTATGAATAGCGATAAGAACGGAACAATTCCAAGATATTTGTGGCCGGGGTTCGTCAAAAGCACCTTGACCGCTTCATTTTATTCCATGGTATATTGCATCATTAGGGTGTAACACAAGTACTGGGGTATACAGTCTCTAACACTTTAGGCATTCTGTTTCTGCGAGTGGCCCATCACAAGGCCCTATTTAAGGTGTGGGCTACACAAAGAAAGGATTTAGGGAAATAAGAAAAAGAAAAAAGAACATTTCAAGTAGAAAGATACACGTACATATACATAACATGTATTGGCGTTGCACTTGTTAGTAGGGCTGAGCATGGGAACCAGGTACCCAAGTGTATGTACATGTACCTGACCGCTGATGTCAGGAACCGGTTCCAGATTATGGGATCAGGTACCCTGAACCATCTTTACAAATTATTTAGTACCTTCTCAATGACAATGAAAAGGAAAGGTTTTGAATGCCATTTGTGGGGAATTTTCAAAATGAAACCCATGCTACATGTGCAAACAAAACATATTTCACATTATGACGCTCACAAAAGTTGCCAGTTTATACATGTACAATGTAAAGCTGTAAAACCCACTGTACAGTGTACACACAAGATTGTTGTTTTTGTACTACATGTATGTATTCTTGAGAGGATTGCCGATATTTAATGATTTTTTTTCTCCTTTTCTGTCTCCCTTTCCTGTAGATGTACTGAATGATGCAATATTTGACGAGGATCACGATGAGATGGTCATTGTCAAGGATATTGAGATGTTCTCCCTGTGTGAACACCATCTTGTGCCTTTTATTGGAAAGGTAACACATCCCCCGTGCCTGTCCCCCCCCCCCCAAAAAAAAGAGAAAATATAAGACGCAAAATCTGAAAAGAGAGACAATTCTTGATTTTTGCTTTTGTACAGGGTGAGTCAAAAAGAAAATTACCAAATTAGAATTGAATTGTAAAATACATTTTTTAACGCTCCATTTCATAAAAATAACATGGGGATATAGTACATGTTATTGACTAGTAACTGTGAAAATTCCACGTAATTTGAATACTCTATTCCCAAGTTATCTGTTTTAATAAAAAGATCACAAAATTCAGCTGTCTAATACTGATTATTTACAGTCCTACCGGTAAAAACGGTTGAACACCCATTAAATACAACTTTTCCACCTCCATGAATGAACCAAATCTTGCAACAGTAAACAGACAGAAATTGCTATCCATATTTCAGAGAAAACAAGTTGATTTGTTCCTCATATTCAAAGCAAAAAATCTGACACTAAAAATATAGTTTCAGTCTTGTATTTGAATGCCTGTGTGTAATCTGTAATTCTCACTCAGCTCAATAGCTTCCAATGGCATTCCATGGACAGTTATAAAAGATAGATTCTTGTAGTGAAATATGCATAACTTGATGATGTTGATGATGACGATAACTTCTGATAGCATGGATAAATTGCAGTAATTCTTCCGTTTTTTTTTCTTCAGATGAGTGGAAGAACACGTTTGCTCTTTGAAGACATACTTCTTTGGTGTATCAAATTTGATTTTTTTTTTCCAAGAAAAGACATCATTAATCCAGGTTGCATTCATTTTGACTCACCTTGCGTAATCCACAGATTAAATCCCACTGTTGTTTTTGTGTGCAATTTTGCCCAAGAAAATTTCCCCACTTTTGTGTTTCCAAATAATTGTCTATCCAACCCCCCCCCCCCAAAAAAAAAACTCCATACAGTTTCAAGTTCATGTAAACTTTTAATCCAGCATAATTCATAACTCAATTCTCTTAATTGCCTCACACAAAAAATTCAAAACATTCTTTTTATGTTTAACCGTAACTCTCTCAAAAATTTGACAGGGATGTATCCCTTTTTATCAGATACTGTGTTGGCCCTATTTTGACATACGAACTCTGGGGTCTGTCAAATATACTGTACAAGTAGCAACTCAAATCAGACAAAGTATCTAAACACACCACTCCTTTTTATCATCAGATTTTGCTGTTAAAGTTCAAGTAACTTTGAATACATTGGTACAAGAGTGCAGGCTAGACATCTGTCCTTGGAATCAGTATGTGTTGATCAGCATGCACACACAAAAAATCACATTACATGGCATTTACTCCTCCACGAATAAAAAAAAAACATAGAGTGTTGGGGTGGTTTGAGGCAGCCTGGGGAGTAGCAGGCGGGCCGGTTTAGGCCGGATTAAGCCAGATTAGGGCGGTTCAAGGCCTGCTGAGTTAAAGGAATTCACGTGTTTGAATCATAGCACTTTGCAGATATTGTTTCCTGCCAAATGATTTTGTTTTGGGGAGGATGATGTAATAAATTCATCGATGAATCAAAAAGTTGGTCTTGATAGGACATCCTACATGTATGTGCTTGAACGATGCCCCTCTCCCTGCTTTGACCCTTTTGAATATGCACCCCTCCCCACCACCATCCCCCATTGGGGTTTCCCATTGGTACAGGCATGTTGGGACTGGTTCTGGGGTCAAAGGCCAAAGGTCAAGGTCACCATATTGAGTTAAAGGTTAATGGTTCCCGGATGATAACTTGACTCTGGCTGAGGGGTTTCAACAGCAACGCTGTTATTTTTTGTTCCTGCAGTTTTACCAATCAGCAATCAAAGAGCGATAGGCCTAACATGTCCTAAAGAGTCAAATTTGGCAGGTAAAATATTGAAGCATTTTCAGACCAATCTCACAGGGCTGGTCCACAGGGTGTCCAGGTATGGAATTCCTCCCAGGACTTTCTCCAAAGGCCAATGTTTGTTAAATATCAAGTCTCTATGGGCTCTGTTTGCGAACAAAGAGAGAGCGCTTATTTACCCCTTTCGAGAGACCTAGCTGTATAGGACCTACTGGTTCGTGCGCGTGTTGTGGGAAGTACCCACGACTAACTTTATTCTGAATGTACAAAGCCATAGCGTCTTCGCGTGAGCGTCTTCGCGTGAGCGTCAGATGCCGTTGACAATGCATTCGAATGCCACTCCAAGTGGTGTTTCCCAACTCTCTCCTCCTTACTGTTGAAGGGGTACTTGTGCATGGAGCCCATAATGAAAATATTTGAAATTGATTGTTTCTTTTGGAATTTTGTAGGTATCCATCGGATATCTACCCAACAAGCGCCTTCTAGGGCTCAGCAAAGTGGCAAGGTATGTGTGAATTCCCTTAGAAAATTTGGTTGAACTTACTCATGTCTCCAACACAAATCTACATCGTAAAGGGAAATACAATAAATAATTCTTTCACTTTCAATGAAAATAAATCATTGCGGTAGTGGTTTCGGGGAAATTTGTGATGTTAATAAACATTGTACATGTTTCCTTTTTGGCTTTTCGGCAAGTTTTAATGACCAGTGGCGTATCCAGTTTTAATGAAAGTTTGAATGAAACCGTGCTGTCATTGAAAATGACCGTTTCTCACTGAATTCATGAACACCAGGATCTGGAGTTGACAAAGTTGGGACTGTCCGTCCCTATTTCATGTAATGTTGTCACATTTAACGTCCTAATTAAACCGCTCATTTTAGTCTCATGGAACTCTTTTCTTATTCCATTGCATTTTGAGGAAATACATCTTTTAAGAATTGCCTTGGTAATATATGTCATCCCGGATGATTTTGCAAATTGGTAAATTGATATATGACTGTCATGTTTACACAAAATTTTTCCAATTTTTACGCAAATTTATACATTGTGCATATGTACATTATTTTACATCCACCCAAATATTCTAAAACTAGTCGTGTTGCTTGTTTTTTTTTTAAACATATGTTATCCTGGCAGGTGATTTTGCAGAATTGGTAAATTGATATACCATACGACTGTCATGTAACACAAACCACTCAGACCTTCGAAATGTTTACCCAAGTGCAATGTACATGTACATCCACCCAACTATTCAGCAACTATGTAGCTTTGTTGCTTGATTTTTCAAGCCATTATCAGTTTGACACATGAAGGGGACATATGAAGGAATCCAAGGGGACATATGAAGGTGCCAAATTGGCCAATAATTGACATAAATCAGCCCAGAGCATACATAGTGCGTGCTATTTGCCAGGTCTGTCAAACTCAGTGTTGATGGCCACAGAAGATATGATGAGAAACGTACATTGTTGATGTTAGCCAAACATCACATTAACCTGCATGCACTTGTACATGAGATACATTTGTAAACAACACACTCAACAAATAACATTTGTGCACATCACGTTGTGGTATTTTTTAATAAATTAGGGGTAAAGTGTGAATTTGCACAGATTTGGCAACAGACAACATTCTCTTCAGTACTACAACCACCTCTGGATTTTGTATTTAGCCTAAAATTTATCAAAAGTCTTATCATTATGACAGTTTCTCGGCCCCAAAGCTGAACAATTTTGAATACCGTTTTTGCCCTTTTGAAGTGGTGTGGTGTGATACATGTAGATAAAAATAACATTGAAAATGGGCGTCTCTGCCTACATGCCTAAATCACCCCGATCATGGGAATATCTACCCAAATTGATTTTTGAAATTTAATTTCAGCCAACTTTATAAGGTCAGTTTTCCTGACTTCTTTTGTACAATGTATTTCTTTGTATTTCAGGATCGTGGAGATATACAGCAGAAGATTACAAGGTATGCATATAAAGTCAAGTCATCCATTGCAGTTGCTCAACCATGGCCATATATCAATATGAATGGCGAATATGAATGCAAATATGAATGCTATATAAAATTATAATATACCGACAGAAAAGTCCGAATATCACCACCCTGCCCGCGTCGTAACAACCATTTTGTGCAATATTTTATGGGGTATGAGACAAGGCCAGTTATTGGATGAAAGTTTTGATTTTAAAATCGACGGAGGAACAGTACATCCAATCAAAACAACTGTCTGATCATGAAAATGCTTGTGAGGTCAAGTTTAATTTATCAAAACAACTTTTTAAGTAATTTAGAGGGTCTAAAGATGTTGCCAGTGAAATCCGCCAAGCTGTCAAGCAATTTACTAGCCTTTCCACACAAAAACGCACGGCTGACAAGAAAATGATTCTAAAAATGACGAGGGTGAATTAACTTCATTCTTTCCAAAAATATGCTGACATGAAAGAATAAAAGAGTCTTTTCCTTTATGGAAACAACAACTTTGTGCAGTGAGCGAGTCTCGAGTTGTGACGAGAGAAGTGAAATTATTGGGATACGGCAAAGACGAACGTACAGGAAGAAATTAATCATTAAATTCAGAAAGAAAACCCCATGAATTTGTGTCTAATTTTATCAACTGTTTTAAAGGGTTAAATTATTAGATCTGTTTATCAAAAACACTGACAAAATTGCCTCAGAATTGAGTCTGAAAATACGCCATTTTGTATTTGAGATAAGAAAAAAATGCGGGCTAGTGAAAATGCCCGCAGGCTAGTTAAAGAGTCCGTTTCAGTAGCCCGGCTGGCTAGTGAACAGAAAAGTTAAGGTCGAACCCTGGTTTAACCAACTGGTTCGTGTCAGAACCACGCATCTCACTAAGAGATATCATTCACATGGTGTTACCACAAACCTCTCATTCATTGATCATATCCACAATGCAAACCCTCGAGCCTTATTTATTCTTTATTGTATCTTTTCCACAGTGCAAGAACGACTGACAAAACAGATAGCATTAGCCATGGTTGAGGCCATATCGCCAATGGGGGTAGCCGTGATAGTCGAAGCAACGTAAGTCTGGAGTATCACACATTGCCAAAAACAGGTCACACAGAAGGTACCAGGTACCGTACCACGAACACGCCTCACAATGGCCCATTGTCTCCTACATGTAGCTCAATTCATAGAGTGTCACTCAGGCTTCAAATGCTGTGGGCCAACCTTTGGGGTAACAACAGCACCGGTGTCCAAGGTGAATGACGGAGGGTTTTCAAGTTCAGTAAAAAGAATGGAGGTGGAATTTCTCCCGTGGACATGTATACGGAACTGAAAGGGTGTTTTATAAGTATCTTCGGGGAAGCTATCGACACAGCAATGGGAGTTGGTAGGGGACTGTTGATACGGTGTATTATATCCTGCTGTTCAGTACAATTCAACTGTTGTGAAATGCTGATTGGGGATTAAAAAGGGGAATAACCCCGGATTGAGAGAAGTCTTCCTGCTGTGACAGGATTCCAGGCATTGTTGAGTTCTCAGATAAGATACTTGTGCCACATATGTAACTATACACATTTTTTGTTGATCTTAAAATTTCCTGCAAAAATGTCAGAGCCCACTTGTATACATGTACCAGCACATTCAAATCCAGTTAGTTACATATGAAAATGAAAAAAATAAATACTGTTTATTCAGATATTTTGAGATACACACATGCACTCCTGTATTCAATATTTTAAGGTGGTATTTTGTTCTTTAAATGTGTGGTCGACTTGGAAAGGATTTGGAGGTTAATACATTAGAAATAGACCTGAGGTGTATTAAATGACGCCATAGTTTTTATTTACATATTGCACTATCTGAGGGACACCAAGCTCCCATAAGAAAGCGCACATGTAAACAAAGCGTGACATCATTATGTTTCAGGCCTATTGAATGTGATTTTCTTGCCGAAATTTGTTAAAACAAAAAATGAAAATGACAAGATTTTTCAGGACTGTCACGCGCACATGTACATGTACATAATATCCCTTAACCCTCCTGCTGTTTGATCATTCACAGGCAGTCAAAAACTCAATCCTCTCCCCCTGCCAAGTCTTTTAGGCAGACTAGTCACCAACAGTCAGATCATATTCCTGTAGGCACTGTGACAGTCAAATTCAGTCAACAGACAAAAACAGGCAAGAAATTGGCACAGCTGGCTTACCGTATTTATAACCTACAGTCGAAGCATAGCTGTACCAAGTTACATAAACAGTCACAGCCAGTCAATCCTGCTTCACCGTTATGTAGGCTGGGAGCTCTTAACTGTTCACTTGATTGAGTTTGACTGAAATGACATCTTTGCACAGAATGTATGTTTGCATAGATATACATGTAGAAGGGTTTGGTACCGTGTTTCTATATTCGCCGATTGCGGAGGATGAGAAAATAAAAAGAAGAAGTTTCACTATCATAGTTGGGTTTTTTTTATTTCTGCTTACAGCCACATGTGTATGGTGATGCGAGGAGTCCAGAAGCTGAACAGTAAAACCATCACCAGCACGATGCTGGGAGTCTTCCGCGACGACCCCAAGACCAGAGAAGAATTCTTGTCTTTAGTTCGCTCCTGAACAAATGAAACCAACAACACATAATTTAAAAAAAATGCCTGGCCAAAGTATTCAAGGTGCTTATAATTACCACCTGTCTTCGTCAGCTGTTCTCAAATGTGGGCGGAGTCTTCCCTTAGTCTGTCCTTGCCTGTCTTTGTATTACCCTCTTGCCTCTATTGGGTCTGTGCACCAACTGTTGGTGGCGGTGTTTCATCTGTGGTCTCTGTACACAAGTGCCCTCCTCAGCAGGGAGAAACGGAGGAGAGTGGTTGATGTCTGCTGCCGTGGGCCCTGGCTCAACTACAGTCTCTGCAAAGGAAGGTGCACATTCGGACAAAAATTGGTCCTGCATACTGTGAAGCCCCACGTATTTATTCTGAATAGTGTACAGGACCAGTTTACTGTTTAAGCGTGCACTGTCCCCTATAGTCCAGCGGATATGTGACAAAATGTCGATGAATTGTGCACTTTTTTTCTTATATGGTTGCCACGCCCCTAAAAGGGTGTGTTCGAGATGGCTCCACATCTGGAATTTTTTTTCTCATGAATATAAATGTCTGTGGGACGTTTTATTCGTTCATGAAATATGGGCACAATGTTTTCCAAGGTGGGCATAATAAATACCCCCCCCCCTTTTCTTTTAATGGCTGCCACGCCCAAAAAGATACTATTGTGGTGGCTCCGAATCTTGAAAACACTGATAATCTATATAATTATGTCTTTGTGAAGTTTCCTGCTTTTGTAACAAGTGGGAAAAACCGTTTTCAATGCGGGCACGACAAGTCCCGCCCCCCTTTTTTTAAATGGATGCCACGCCCCTAAAAGGGTAAATTTGCGATGGCTCCACATCTAAAACATTTTCTCGCATGCATATAAACATCTGTGCCAAGTTTCACGCTTTTATGCAAAAGTGCACAATTTTTTCACATATCCGCTGGACTACTATGCATACTTGCAACCAAACGTTTTGTGCATTTTACAATAGAAGAATGATTGCCTCATACTTAGGGCTGTGCATTAAGGATAGTACAGGAATCGGATACCCGATTAAAATAACATGGGCACCCGGATACCCATTAAAGAAACCTAACCTCTAAATTCAAATCTCGGAAGTTGCTGTTCAGATTGTTCATTAAGGTCCATGTGATAATACTACCACATCGGTGCATTGATGCGGCAAGATACAGGTGTATACAGTGAGTTCAACTTATGTAGCTTTAAGGTGTAAATTGCATTTTCGCAAGCATCATGTAGGGACTGAAAGCCCAATTTGCCTGTGGACCAGGGCAGGAATCGAACCCGGGCCACAGCGGTGGAAGGCGAGGACAGTAACCACTGCGCCAACCTGACTCTCTTTTAAGTTGAAAAAAGTTAAACGCACTTGAGATATTTTTATGTGCTAGATTTCGAAATTTGCCTTGCGTGTTTGGAAATATCTCACAATTTTTGAAAGTGTCATTTTCACTTGTAACCAGTGCCAGTGAAAGTGCAATGATCATGTATGATAATTTACTGGATGTAAAGTGAGTGCGCCCTCTATAGTTATCTAGCCAATAACATTTCTAGAATCGGTGGAAGAATGGTTTGCCAGACAAGTTACATCAATGGTCCGTGTTTTATGCTTGCAGATAGACCATTATCATGTTGCGGCCATCTTGATTTTTTCCCATTCAAATCAACGTAACTAAAGCGAGGCTGGAAGGGATAATAGTCTGGTTCCTTTTTGCGTAAAAAACATCATCATTCAGTACTGTTATTGGATACAGGGAACATGACTGAAATGGTGGCAGCATGATAAAGGTCTATTGCATAACAGCTTGCTCCCCATGTACATGTACATGTACATGTACATGCTAAGACTTGTATCAGACTGGATTTATGCTGCGTTCTCCAAATATTTGAATTTTTTTCAAGGAGTATCATAGTGTACTGATTATATCTGAACCCCAGTCCCGAGTTGTTGTTATTTTTTTTTTAGTTTTCTTCAGGCAAAGATACAAATAATTCCACAAACACAAAAGCAATCCTGTAAAAAAAAATACAGTAAATAAGAACAAAACATTATTTTAAAACGTAAGTGATATTATTGTTTTTAATGTAATTATTAATGGTGTCCTCATTATATGTATACAGTGTACATTGTTAGTCTATTTTAAAGGGGTAACTATGTGGAGAGATTGTAAGTGTATTCACAGAAATTAGTGTAAACTCAAATCTTGTCATGATTTATATTTTAAATAACATTGCATGCGTGTAATTACATTTGTTTGAAGTTTTGAGCCGTTATCACCTCTAAACAGTGGCTGCGGGAAAAAAAGCGAAAACTTAAGTACTGTCACCGTCCGCCTAATCAAAAATCAAAAAGGTACTGTAAGTTGTCTTTTGTTGTGTCAAAAAAAACCCCTTTAATTCTCTGTTTTGCTTTTGATTGATGATTCGCATTTTATAAAATTGGGTTTGGAAAAATATCAAAATGTACCAAATGAATGTTACTTTTCCATGCATCTAATCGATAGTTCAACCAAATTCCAGAAAAATATACGATTCAGGGTCAAAAACAAATTGTGATATCCAAAGTCTTTCAACATAAGTACTCGTTTATAATCATTTCCGTGTTTAAAAATCGAGAAGACATCTTGGAAAAATCCGGCCACCTTATTTTTGAAAAGTATTAAGGGTCCAACTTTCATAAAAATTAAGAATCTGTGTTTTTCAATTGGTGATCACGTCGTGTTTACGGCAGTGTGTAAGATAAAAAAGTATTCTTTGGTTGTATTGTTGGTTTATGCTTTGTGGTTTTTAAAAGAATGATTTTATTCATCTTCAGGCCAATTTCTACTGCATGTAAGTTTGAAAGAGGGTACAAATTCATGACTTTTGAAAGTGACTTTTGAAACAAACCCCCATGGTGGTCTGATTATAGCTGGTTGACTTCAGAAACCTGAAAATAGGTCTGGTTTTTGTAAATTAATCTCTGCTGTGAAGAAGGTTTGGTTCTGAAAGTTATTATTTTGATGTTTCAGACAATGTGTGTTCTGCCAAGCTCCCTCTTTTAGAATCAGCCTTTACTTACAGGGAACTAGTGTTGAAGTTGAGTCCTTCACAAGTCCAGCCACAAGTCCAGTCACAAGTCCAGCCACAAGTCCATGACTAGTCCATGACTAGTCCTTTCACAAGTCCAGTCACAAGTCCAGTCACAAGTCCAGTCACAAGTCCAGTCACAAGTCCAGTCACAAGTCCAGTCACAAGTCCTTTCACATGCCCAGTCACATGCCCAGTCACAAGTCCAGTCACAAGTCCAGTCACACGTCCAGTCACACGTCCAGTCACACGTCCAGTCACACGTCCAGTCACACGTCCAGTCACAAGTCCAGTCACACGTCCAGTCACACGTCCATCACAAATCCATCACAAGTAAATCACAAGTCCAGTCACAAAACCAGTCACAAGTAAATCACAAGTCCAGTCACAAATCCATCACAAATCCATCACAAGTCCAGTCACAAGTCCAGCCACAAGTTCAGCCACAAGTCCGGCCACAAGTCCAGCCACAAGTCCGGCCACAAGTCCAGCCACAAGTCCAGTCACAAGTCCATCACAAGTCCATCACAAGTCCATCACAAGTCCAGTCACACGTCCAGTCACAAGTCCTTTCACATGCCCAGTCACAAGTCCGGCCACAAGTCCGGCCACAAGTCCGGCCACAAGTCCGGCCACAAGTCCGGCCACAAGTCCGGCCACAAGTCCGGCCACAAGTCCGGCCACAAGTCCGGCCACAAGTCCGGCCACAAGTCCTGCCACAAGTCCTGTCACAAGTCCTGTCACAAGTCCAGTCACAAGTCCAGTCACAAGTCCTTTCACAGTCCTGTCACAAGTCATTTCATAAGTCCAGTCACAAGTCATTTCATAAGTCCAGTCACAAGTAATGGGGTGAACAATGACAAAGAAATGCTTTTGTAACAGTTCATTTGAATAGCTAAATGATTTGACTTCAGACTTGTGATGGACTGCAGGGACATGGACTGGACTACAACACTGTTACAGGGGAGATTAGCCTAAATTTCCTGGACACTTTTTCCTTGGAATCTCGGTGTATATCCTCAAAAATCACCAACTTCACAGCTTTGCAATTGAAACTTTCAAGAAGTATCCAACCCCATTTGAAGGAAAAGTGGCTTGGCAGTACCGTCCTCAATCCTGCAAAAGCCTACAAAATAGAGGAGTAATTGTTACGATATTTATTTTCTATCTGCAAACTTCAAATTTTCTTTCTTGTATCCATTTCACAAGCTTCAAATCAAGTATTCTGGTTTTTAAAAGAGTATTACGTGCATACAAAGAGTGCTGCAGAAGGATACTGGACAAAAGTTCATGTCGTGGAAAATGTCACTCCAAGGATCCAAGTACTTTTGTATCAGCACGCGTTTCTTGTTTAGGCCAATTGACCCTTTTTGTCACACATCTCTGCATTAATAGAATGGCATATATTTATAGGCAGTGGTTCATCATCAATCATGTATGACATGTCATCTTTTTGGGAAGCGTTCCCACTTGGTTCTGTTATTAGCTTGTAGTGTTAGTAGTACTAGAGACGTACTCGACTAATTTGTTTGTCAGTCATTATATTTAATGTAAAGTTAAATTTAATAATACAATTACTTTAAGCTAATTTCTTGCATGCATGCATGCATTGACAGTCCCGAGACAAATCTAGAAAGTCACTAGTCTAAACTTGTTCTTCCGTGTGGCATGGTAGGCCTATGAATTCTCATTTCGCCGGTGACCACAGACAGATGTTTGCACATTAAAGCATGTTAAGTCTCCATTGTGGCTACTAGCGTACAGGAAATTAGCTTTGCCAAAACAGGTTAAGCCAAAAATGGCAAATACACGTACACTGTTACGACTCGCTCTCAGTGAATTTTTTTTTTTTGGTATAGGGGCTCCAAAACACCAATTTCGATAAAAGTTATCATTCAATGATTTTCTTAAGTAGTGTATCTGTATCTGTGTTCTTCTGTGCAACGCCTGGTGTGGCACTTTGAGTTCTTCTTTAGCGTTGTGCATTATGTTCTGGCAATTGCCTTACTGTGACAAAAAAAACGCGGCAAGGGCCCAATTTCAGCTCATAAGCCTCTATCAGCAAAGAAATTTGCCCAAGATCAGAAAGATATTTGTCAAGCAAATTTATAAGTTTAAGCAAGATTAAGATGATTTCTGTTTACCACAAAAAAACTGTTTAGCACAAAAAATTGACTAGACTCGTTCCCAGTCCCACCATCATTGATTTTGACTTCAAAATTATGTTGTGAGAGCAGGAACCAGTCTAAATACTTGACCCCGTAAAATTTTAGGTTTATATCGGCTTCCTGAAGTTGGGCTCTCTGCTCATTTTATTATGTATTTTCTCTTAAGGTACAATTACTTGTTTGGCATATGTAGGCTATTGAACCCCCTCCCTTTTAAAACGACTAGAAAAACTGTTGAACAGTAGTTGTTGACAAACGAAATGAGTTACTCGTTTCATTTTATTCTCTTAATTTTACTGTACATGTATTCTTCTCAATCATGCATGATATTCATTTTAAAACCCATCTTCATATTGTGATTTAATTTGTATATAAAAGAGTGGTGAAAAATATACTTTATGAAATAAAATATAGTACATTAAAATGTCAAGGCGTGCCATGTGAAGGAAGTTATTTGGTTTGACTTGAAATGTGTATTAGAAACTTGACAAATGAATTGCTCTGGTCTAATCCTTTCATCGAGAGGGCGTGCTCAAACCCTCCTTGGGTTTAGTAAGTAGCTTGAGTAACGCCAGCTCCAATGCTCATCAGGAAGTCGAAGTATAGAGCTGGAGCTAAAACTATGTTGTAGATACTAGATTCAAAAATGGTCCCTTTTCCCTCTAGTAGAATCCCAATCCAGATTCCATTAAACATACCTCGTTATATGAATCTGGGTTGGGATTAATAAGGGAAAAGGACCATTTTTGTGATACAGATACAGAGAGTCCCGTTTTTTAAAGGCCTCTTAGAATCTAGTATCTACAACATAGTTTTAGCTCCATGTCGAATTCCTGATGAGCAGTGGAGCTGGAGTTACTTAGGTAGGTATTAAGTAGGCCTGAAATTATATTCGCCGGACAAATCACAATTTGCATGCCCTCACGTTCTTTTCCCGAAAATTGACAAAAAGTATGGCGTCGCGCACATTTGTCGGCGGCGCATTTTTCCAGCTCTGGCATGAAGGAATCATTTTGATCATTTCAGTTTCGATACCAGACTTCTTGCAACACGTCCAGAGCTTAATGTGCACTCGCACTTGTTGTTGTTGTTTGTTTTTTGGGGGTTTTGGGGGTTTTGTTTCCTCCCCTCTGGGACCATATCTAATGTAACCCCCCCCCCCCCCCCCCCCCCCCCGCAACCAATTAGCAACAAAACCCCCAAGGCTTGGAAGCCACAAGTCTCAAATGCTTGATCTCCACAAATATTTCTACAATCAGTCCCAATTACATGGGCCGCAAGGACCTATCAAAATTATCTGTGGCCCTCGCGCGCAGGGATTTTACATTTTAGTTAGGCTAACTTTACAAGACCTTACGCGGTTAATTGTGAGTTTAGACATAATAGAGGGCGCTATTCAACAAATCTAAAAACGTTTGTCCCGCGGTACAAAACCATACGTGTCAGTATCGTCTGCTCTTCCGGAATTGAGCATTTGTAACATTAACGTAGATGTCAGCAATCAATGATTCTACATATTTACGTTGCATTATTTTCTTTGCAAAATAATGTCGAGTGGGCATCGGTTGTTTCCGAGTGCAAATGCAGTGCAAAAAAATGAACACAACACTGTCGTCGCTGTCAGTGTCAGTGTCATTGATGACTGCACTCCAACTGCGCAAAGTAAGAATAACGCAGTGGCTATTGTTACGGCAGCCGTATCGTAACGCATTTCCCATTTTCTATCGTTACGGTAGACTGCAACTTTTATAAAAACATGACAAGAAAATATTGGTAATCCTTACTTTTAGGACACCTCTATTTTTTACGAGTTCTGTTCAAAACTGACTTTTGCAGATGTCTGTCCAGTACCAAAGTGACTTTTGCAGGCTAAAGCAGTCCTTAGAAGTCAAGAAGGTGTCATTGCCAATTGTTCAGATGTGCCAAGAAGTATCAGAATGTCAATTTTGAGTCATTTAGTCAACTGTTTTGGCGAGTCTTTCCCTTCCTATATAGGAACGGGGTCCTAAAAGTAAGGATTACCAAAATATTAATTAGAAGGAAAATCTTTTGAACGTTATGAAATTCGGACTTTATTTCCCTTTTAAAAAAAATCCTCCAAAGCCTCAGGTTAGAAAAGGAAAAAAATTCGAGTGCAAAACTGAGATTCGAACCCGCAACCTCGCAGTGCAAAATCCTACCCTCTATCGACTGAGCTGTCGCACTGCTCGCTAAAATGTGGGGAAACAAATAATTATATACCTGCGTGTGTATCAAAAAAGTATCGTACATGTAGAGGGCGCTAAACAACGACTGCCGTAACGATAGCCACTTCGTAAGAATAAACCAGTATTTTTCCTCTTCAGATAAGTTAGTTGGGAGTTTAATTTATTTTAAGCATTTGAGGGAAAAGAAGGAAAGAATTACTGGGCCACCAACTCGGACCTCCTGCACAAAGTCTATGGGCCATAGCAGAACAATTTAAAAGATTATTTTTAAAGAATTTTTCCACTCCTTTCCTTAATTTATAGGCCTATTAAATCATTTGTTTCTTCATCAGATTTACAACTTACGGTATTTTTCAGATTATATTAAGGAATATGAGCAGTGGCCCAGTATGAAATTCTTTCTGAAAAGAAGGAAAAAAATTCATCAGCCATCAGAAAGCGATAACATGTCCTAAAATAAGTTAAAAAAAGACACATAGCAAGGAAAATATTGAAGCATTTGAGAAAACATTTGACAATTTTCCAGACCAGTCCCATAGGGTTTGTACACAGGGTGTCAAGTAACGTCCGTATATGGAATTCTTTCCAAAAGAAGAGTCTGAGAATCTAAGTGTCTTGCAGTGGTTCCATTGAAACTACTGACATGGGTTCTCAGATGAGCGCACTGACGGCAAGTTGATAGTCATATAGTAATAAGGCCAATGGAAAGTAATCTGACGCTGCTTTTTCTTCTTATATTAGCTCAATGAGGGTTTTTGCAAAAGTGACAATAAAACATGAACCTGGGACTGAAAAACATTTCCAATTTTGTAAGGAAATACTTTGTACTCAACCGCTGAAGTAGCGTCAGGCTGCTACATTCTTTCCTTTCGTTTCACCTACATGTGTGACCTTGTACTATTTACGGAAATGATAATTTTCAATTAAGTAGGGGCCTATCAGGCAAAGTAAAAGAAAAAACATGTTTAGCGTCCCCGCCCACTTCCTTTTTAGAGGCCGCCTCCTTTTTTTTGCTTTTTTTTTTTTTTTTTTTTAAGGCAGTGTATATTTTGCCGGAGACGGCAAACCTTTAGTAAACGTTAGTTTGCCGGATATGCACTGAACATGCGCAGTTACTGTTTTTTTGTACTTAAACATTTTCCGGTGACAAGTTTTAGTCTGGCTCCATGCCAAAATTATCGTTGTTACCTCGTATTCACAAGATAGGATTCAGACCATTTTATAATTTCGGACTTTATTTCCCTTTTAAAGGGAATATACATCATTTGCATTTGCTGTAATTTTCAGAAATGGATGGAATTGGGGGGTTGGAAATATATAGCAAATATAGTTGCACTGACTTTTTTGAGGTTTTGGGTTCGAAAATGCTATAAAAACCAAGAAAAACTATCATTTTCCTGTAGTCTGGTTCCCTGACTCCATATAAGAAGAAACAGAGCAGTTTACATACATTGGGGAATTGTAAGGTCAGGGAACCAGTCTAGCTGGCTCGTACCCGTTCATAGGTTTGTAATCGATTGCAAACAAGTGCGATGGTCAATTGGGGCCAGTATTTGAAAAAAAAAGCCAGTTGTTTCCAACGCTGATCGGCCGATCAGCGTTGGAAATTGATACAAAAATACCACTTTTCTTGAAAATGACAGAATACCAGGTGCCATGATTTTACAGGATGCTTTACACTGTCATTCACTAACAGTCCAGCAAGGTATTTCAAAATGATTTGGTAGTTTTATTTTTTGATGTTTGCAAATGTTGTATTTTCCCTTTAAAAAAATCCTCCAGAGCCACAAATCTGAAAAAGAAAATGTAATACTCTGCAAAAAATGTTTGAGAGACATGTTAAAATAATAAAAGAAGAATATTCTTATTTATTTGGGGATGAGAAAAAAAACTTAAAAATGTGGTGCGGTCGGATTCGAACGCGAGTCATCCCGCTTACTAGAGCCTTTGCTTAACCACTACACCAAACGTGCTACACAACTTTTGGTGGGAATTTAATACATCTTATAATTCAGCCCTATTTTAAAGAGTACAGCGCCCTCTGTTGATATGGATTGCCGCCGGCAAACCTTTAGTAATCGTTAGTTTGCCGTCATTACCTCCGGCAAAATATCCACTATCTTTTTTTAAAGACAAAAATTGATAATTTTAACGCAGAAGAGATGTTCGGTTCTGCATAGTTACATCATTTTGGTCTCATTTTCTGTTGCATCTTGCCCATAAGAAGCCAATATGTCATTTCCTGAGTCCAAGTGGCGGCCATTTTGAAAAAAGCTGGTAACCATCTTGAAAAATAGCCCGGCCGCGTTGTCTTGAAAAATGTGTCGGGCGGCCATTTTGAAAAAAAAGAAGAAAAAAAAGGGCCTCCTCCTTCCTTTTTGTCAAAGAGGCAGGACGCTAAACATGTTTTTTTTTTATTTTGCCTCACTATCGGTGAAACATAACTAATTTTAACCCAACATGCTCTATATTGCAATACATTGTATTTAATTTAACCCACCTTTGCTATTTGTTTTTTAGAAAATGGCAACTTGGACTGGCTGACCAATAAGAGCTTCCGAAGCGACAATGCGATCGCAATCGCCAAGCAACATCTGAGAACAGAGGACAGTGAAAGACATCGGCAGCGACTTAGAATCACTACTCCCCATCCAACAACATCCGAGAGCTCTGACTCGAGCTCTGACTCCAGCAGCTCTAGCAGCGACAGCTCAAGGTCTAGACATTCTTACAGCAAACGGAGCAGAGAACACAGACACAAGCGAGGCTACAGAGCAGAGTCTATTGATAGGTACAGAAGAAAAAGTACAACATCCGAGAGCTCTGACTCGAGCAGCTCTAGCAGCGGCAGTTCAAGGTCTAGACGTTCTTACAGCAAACGGAGCAGAAAACACAGACACAGGCGAGACGACAGAGCAGAGTCTAGTGATAGGTACAGAAGAAAAAGAACAACATCCAAGAGCTCTGACTCCAGCTCAGACTCGAGCAGCTCTAGCAGTGACAGTTCAAGGTCTAGACGTTCTTACAGCAAACGGAGCAGAAAACACAGACACAGGCGAGACGACGGAGCAGAGTCTAGTGATAGGTACAGAAGAAAGAGAACAACATCTGAGAGCTCTGACTCGAGCAGCTCTAGCAGCGACAGCTCAAGGTCTGGACATGCTTACAGCAAACGGAGCAGAAAACACAGACACAAGCGAGACTACCGTGCAGAGTCTAGTGATAGGTACAGAAGAAAAAGTACAACATCTGAGAGCTCTGACTCGAGCAGCTCTAGCCGCAACAGCTCAAGGTCTAGACATGCTTACGGCAAACGGAAGAGAAAATACAGAAACAAGCGAGACTACAGAGCGGAGTCCAGTGATAGACACGGGAGGAAAAGCCATGGTCGTGACAGGCATCACAGGGACAAGAAGAGAAAGAGGAGGGAACGTGATTCAAGCTACTCCAGTGATGAAAGCAACACTCGCAGAGATCCCTTGAGATCAGAGAAGTAAGTTGCTGGGTTTACCTCCTGAAGATCATTGACAGGAATGTCATGAATCTTTTAATTTGCATAATTTTGGTAGTTGATTGCCTATCCTGGGCCAGACTGGGACCTCAAGTCCTGAAAAAAAATACATAACTTATAACTTTCCCATCAAAACAGCCAATCCCTGACGTCAAAACAGCGTTGGGAGGTATAGGTGATAGCAAAATATTCACTGTCTACATGTACAATGTAAAGTGCACAATTCATATCAAAAGGGACACTTGTGGGCATATTATAAAACAAAGAATAAACCTTATTCCAATGATGCCAATTTAACTTGATCTCAGTTGGTGTTGATACATGAATGTAAGTAGAAATAGACTTCATTGTAATTTCATCTGCAAAACATAGTAAGTAAAAAAATGAGAAACATTCTCTCTTTCTGAATTTCTCAAACAGGAGGACGGCCGGTGTAGGTGAGGGCTTTCGCATCGATGTGAAATCGGACAAGAACAACCTGTGCTTTGACAGTCTCCATTTCACAGACACTGTCATCTACCGTCGCGTCGGGCACTCCTGCCTTGGTTTGAACCGACGACGTCAGTCGGTGATTTGGAAAGAAGCTTCAAAGGCAAAGAAATACAAGACAGAATCGAGTACACTGAGATATTTCACTCCAAATATTGTCGACTTAGAGAGTGAAAATGTGGAAGAAGGTACTGTACTTGCAGACCGCAGTCGGGCAGACATACCTCAAGAAAGGAAGCAGAGAACCATTTCTTACATCCCGATAGATGCCTCTGCCACCAACCTACCCAGGCCTGACTTTGATCCTCTCGGTGTCTACGATCCATCCACCCAAGCCTACCTTGGATCAGACCCCAAACCAAGCCACATTAACACTGCAAAACCCCAGCACCAATCAGCACCAACCAGCAATAGACTCTCGGCATTCACAAAGACCACCGCGTCCTACAACCGGCACTTGCACGACAATCCCCAAGACATTCCCAAGTGGCTGGAGTTCATCCGCTTCCAAGACACCGCCGAGTTTGACACACTGGTTTCCACCAGCGACATCAGTGGTTCAAACGCAAAGCAAAGCGGCCGAAAGAGGACAGCTAAGATGATTGCCGAGAAGAAGCTTGCCATTCTGGAAAAGGCCCTCCTGAAAAACCCTGACAGCGTCCCCTTGCAACTTGAGCAGCTGGAGATTGGTAAAGAATTCTGGGACATGTCGCAGCAGACAAGACAATGGGAAAAGCTCCTGAAATCAAACCCGGACAACATCCCGTTATGGAGGGAGTACCTCCTCTTCAAGCAGGCATACTTCTCCGCGTTCTCTGTTTCCAAGGTTGCGGGACTGTACGGGAGGTGTTTTAGGAAGTTGGTTGCTAGACAGAAGGATCTGGATGGATGCGAGGCTGTGGAATTGGAGAATCAATTACTTGGTGAGAAATAGTTCTGTTTGTCGGTCACAGGTTTGATTGGCAATTGCAAAGCATGGGTAGAAATTGATGTACCCAAAGGTTAACCCATGTTTGTCTAAAAGCCCCAACACTGTGGGACTAAAGCCAGTCCACATTTTACGCGAATGTGAGTGCCAAGCAAATTTGAGGTCCGAATAATTGGCCAAAGAAGACATTAGTTCAGAGTTTTTGTGAATTTGCAACTTCGTGAATGTACATGTATTAATCTTCCTGCAATTGCGTGATTTCGTCTTCCTGCAACATGTTGCATGCCTGCAGATTGTGTGGTTGCCGTGATGTTAAAGGTTTCATACAATGTCAAAACATATACAAAAGAATGTTTACCAAATATTAAACAATTTTGTCTACATGTACAAGCCCTAACACTCTGAGACTTGACAAAGGAAACTTCAAATTTCATGCAAATAATTTGCCAGTGATGACATTTTAGTGAATTTTTGTGAATTTTGTTTGCAGCTGCAGTGATGTACATGAAAGTCTTCCTGCCATTTGCAAGATCTCAGGCTTTTTTTAGCCCTCATTTAAACAGTCACAGACAGTCAAAATTCTCATTCACTTGCCCTGCTTTACTTTTAACATGGGCTAGTCACCGGCAATCAGATCATACATGTAGTCAAGCAAGAACTGCGACTAGTCAAAGTCAGTCAACAGACCATGAACAAAGCAGGCAAGTTGCGGGCACAGCTGGCTTATCAATCACCCCCAGTCAAAGCAAAGCTGTATCAAGTTACATAAACAGTCACGGCCAGTCAATACTGCTTTATTCTTAGGCAGTGGGAATTCTTAACTGTTGAAAACAGTCACTTGATTGATTTTGACTGAAAGGACTACTAGTACCTGGCACAGAATGTATGTTTGCATAGGAGGGTTAATTTGCAGGGAACATATTAATGCCATACATGTATTTACATTTACTTGTTTAACAAGATACCTGTTTAACCCTTGCAGATTTGTTTGTTAGCTTGTGTCATTTCTGGCGGCAGGCCGGTCATACAGAGAAAGCAGTGGCAGCCTACCAGGCCATGATAGAGCTCAACTGCTTCTGTCCTCAGCAATTCCAGCAAGACACACACGCACAGGGCCAGGTAATGATAACAAACACAGGTCACTCTCGCAAAATACAAACTCTGTTATAACCAAATTTAGGTAATCCGGTTCGTTAGTGACTTCGTCATACACCCACACTGATTACTAGCGCCCATTGGATAAACACTCAAGTTGCGTTAGCTTCTGGTTCCAATGGTTCCAATGCTACTTAACCCTATCCCTGCTGAATCCAACAGGATCCAACTATGTCACATACCCGATGGAGCCTGTTGGATTGAGCAGTTAACCCCTTGTGTACATTCCTCATGCAAAATGTTGGATTCAGCAGGCAACTGAACCGCATTATAACGCATTGTTGGACTCCGTTGGATTCAGCAGACAACTGAAAATGAGGCACAGTGGATTGAACAGGAAAGTCCGGTTGGACTCTGTTGGATTTAGCAGGGTAGTCCTGAGGAAGTACAAGGGGTCTTAGGGTTAATGGCCAGTGGGCGTGGTTTAAACTGAAGTAACGTCACACTAAATAACGAACCAGATACTCAACATAAAGCCTGGGTCCGGACTGTGCATTTACATGCACAATAAATGGGACCGAGGCCTTATGTTCACTATAACCATTGACAACAGCCAATTAACAGCTGGATCTAGCCAAAATGTTTTGTTATATCTGAATTGTGTAGTTTGTACCTATGTATTAACGAGAGATTCTACTGTATATTCCAAAGATGCATTCTTAGCAGTAGTATATGTACATGCATGTCTGCTCCTCTGACACATTTAATGCATCCTCCTTCAAACGAATTGTGAGAGAACATTTTTTTCTTCATTTGCTGTGTTGAAATTTTACTACTTCTGAATTATACCTTAAGTGAATCCTCCTGAATGTGCAAGGAACATTTTTTGGTACTTTGAATTTCGTAGGAATGGCATCAAGCCCAATGTAAATAAAGAGTGGCATGCGAAATCCTCTCTGGTGGATTTTTGAATATTGGGGTGACGTAGTGTTGAACACAAAGACAAAAATTTGGCCCAACCCAACACAATAAGTCTCTAGTTGCCAGAACTACATGTACTTGGGATAATTGGCCTTTTCACAGAATCTTTCACTGTGAACATTTATCAGAATAATATCAAAATACATATAAAACTGAGTGATATGGGCTCCGTGCGCGAACAGAGAGGGCGTTTTTTTAACCAAGTTGAGGGGACAAACCTTTTGCGCATACTGGTTTGTGCTCGTATAGCGTAAAGTACGCACACGCTTATTTTATCCGTTTTAGCGTCGGGCGTTGTTGGTATGTCCCTTCCGGTGGTTTTCCCGAATGCCCCTTTCATACCATTGAGGGCGGCTTGTGCACTGAACCCACATCAACATGAAAACCAAATATATCTGCTGCCTACGTTGTGTTAAAAAGTAAGAAGTGATCATTGTCCTTAGGCTGCCAATATATAACTTTCACCCGGTTTTAAAAATTCCACTTTCAGATTGCATTTTTGGAGACGTTTTGGGATAGCGCCGAGCCTCGATTTGGAGAGAGAGGAGCCAAAGGTTGGGCCAGCTGGATGCAGAAGAAGCAGAGAGGAGGCTGGGCACAAATCCAAGAGCCTCGTAAGTCTTGTCCTTTGTACTTGACTGTCTCCCCAGGATTTTTCATTCAGGGTGGGGTTATTCAAAGTGGCAACTTCAAATAAAGTTTTAGGGTGAGAACAGCTTTATGTAATGGTACGACGAGTTAACATGGTTAAAGGGCGAGTCCAAGAATTTGATGGATTTAAGTGTTTTTTATTCTACTATTGGGCATCTGCAAGGAGAATACCCACGAGAATTTTTTTACGGGGGGTGTTAGTCTTTGCAATGAGTTTGTAATTACAGAAAACATGGTGTTACGAACGGGACCATAAGGGGACCTTTTCTTGGACTAGCCCTAAAATGATTCTGTGAGTGTTCCTGTGCAGTGCAGCACAGAATGTCATGCATGCAGTGCATTGTTCAGTTTTAAAAACACGGCCAATTACTGTGGTTCTCTTTTTCACTAAGTTTACTGGCCGTCTTTTCCTGAGTGTTTTGTACCAATCTGCCAGTAAAAAAAATGGGGGAAATTGTTTGAATTTGAAAGTTTGAAAGTACAGAATTTTGAAAGTTTGGAACATTTACTTGATATTTTTTGCGGGTATTTGGAAAATTATGAACATTTTTATTCTTTCAGAATCTGACGATCGAGCTCTAGAGGAATCTTCCAACCCTTCCATGAATTCATCCGACCAGCCTCTGTGGCAAGCCTGGATGCGGGAAGAGGTCTTTAGAGAGCAGAGTCATTTCGCTCCCTGGCGTCCTGACGAAGCCAAGGGTGAAACAGAAGAGGACTGTGAGGATCCGGAGCGGATGGTTCTCTTCGACGACATCGGTCAAGCTCTCTTCAGGCTCAGTTCTCAGCAGAACCAGTTTCGTCTCGTCCTCTTCTTCCTGGACTTTCTTGGCGTATCGGTTCCCAGATGTTTGTTGGAGGGTCCTGGTGAAGTTGCCAACACGACAGGGATTTACCTAGAGCAGCCAAGCCAGATATTGCCTCCCGTCTGTAAGCCGACTTTGACACTCTCAGGAGTTGCAGGTAATTGTAGGACCCTGGAGCAGTTTGAGAGGAACGTGGACTCCGCTAAGAGGAGTCGCATCAGAGATACCAACACACAGAATAAAGCTCTTGAAGACTTTGTGGAGGAAGTGTTCGTCCGAATCATACCAGTTTTTCCCGAGCAAGCACAGACCAAGCTTCTGTTGATGAGGTTAGACTTCCACATAAAAAAAGCTCTAATGTCGACAGATGATAAGCGTGGGCAGAAGAAGCGACTTAAGGATGCCAAGAGATTTGCCAAGAAGCTACTTAGCCAGGAGGAGAATCGTAACAACTTGGATCTCTGGGCTGCCTTAGCAAGATGGGAACACTCTCTGAATAACACGGATGAAGCTAAACGTGTGCTGCAAACAGCCCTGATCTTTCTTGGGCAGCCTAAGACCGAAACAGACAGGCATGCTGCCACAAGACTTGTGTGGACATTCGCAGACATGTTTGTCCAGTATGACTCAACACCTGCGAGTTCTGTTGGAGCTGTTAATGGAAGCAACACGGAGGTGCTGCATTTACTGACTGCCGTTGCAGAGGGGGGAGTGTTCACTCCCCTCCAAGAGGTACCGGGACAATGTGTGTCTGCAACAAGAATCCTAAAAGCTAGGAGAAACTATCAAGAGATGATGACACAAGCCTTGGCCTCTTACTCAAAGGAATGTGATGAAAACACTGAGCTCTCAGAGTGGTGTCGGCCTTCTGGAAGCTACATCGTACATCTCGCCAAGTGCTTTGCCATCTTCCAGTACCTGACCGTGGGCATGAAGGCAGCATCAGTCGTCTATGAGTCCAGCCTCTCGGCCCTCAAAAGAAGTGGTTCAAGAGGCTCCGACTTTACAAGTCCACGGCAGGTCCGAGTGGACCAGGAGTTACTGACAACAGCCCACGTCAGGCTCTTCTCGGCCCACGCATACAGCAACCCCGGCCCGCTTGGAACCCTGAGGAACCTAATCAAGACCTCCCTGGCGGATTACCCATCCAGCCCGGAGTTGCTGGATGCTTTCATCCACTCAGAAGCCAAGTCCCACATTGCCGGGCGAGTCCGTCGGTATTTTGATCAGGTGACGAGACGAAGCAACCATCCCATCCAGTGGTTGTTTGCTATCAGGGCAGAGCTGCTTAGGCAGGAAGCTGTACTTGCTGCTACTACTGCTGCAGAAGTCAAGGACCTACTAGCACAACAAATTGGAGGTATGGCTATCTGTAAAGACAGTTTTTCTAAATTTGTCATTGTTAGTAAAGCCACGGTTTGCATTTGTGGCAGTGATATGAAAATAGTCTGCACTTGATTACTTGTGCAGTGTACATGTACAGTACCGCTCAGCGTTAATAATTCCTGATAAACGGTAAACACGTTCTTCGTCAATGGGGTTTCAGCTCTGCCCACTACGGAAGGCTGATTATCGGGGATTAAAAAACCACAAACGATCCTGCGGTCAAGCGCCCAGTTGACATCGTTATATTGCTGCAATACACGTTGTTTTGTTTACCAATCAACCACAGGCAGATCTCGTGGCGGTAGTTCGTTTTTATGAGGTTGGCGAACGCTTCTTATCTGCGCTTAATCCTTAGCAAACACTGCGAGATAATAACATTGTTACCTGGAGTAATTCTGCACTCATACATGTACCAACAGGCCGCTACACTACAGTAACCGCACTGGACTTTTTTTGGTCAAACTAACCGAGACTATGGGTACTTTTCCCATTTTAAGTCCAGTGCGGACAGCCTAGGACGTTTTCCTCTCGGTTACTTTTCCTGAGTCCAGCGGTTACTTTTACTGGCCGACTGCTGCCCAGGAAAACTTCCCACGCGCCCAGGAAAACTGACCAGGTCACTTTTCCCAAGACGATAAGTCCAGTGCGGACAGTGCGAGTCGGTAAAAGCGGCTCAGGAAAGCGTACATCCGGCCCGAGCGCCCTGTTATGCATACAGAGACTGCACGAACCTGCACGTGCAGTGGCCGAACATTTTGTAGAAACACGCTGCGGTGTATCATCAAGTCCGAGCGGTAAAATCTCGTTAAAATATATTTCAACGGACAAATACATACACAGAGAAGAGAGATCACGTTCTGAGAATTAATTTGCGGAAATTCTCTTTCTCCACCGATGTATGTTATTTTCTACGATCCAAATTCGTCCTGATACGCTACTGTAGTCATGCACGGAACATCATGGTCCGGTACCGTACGTAGGCCGTAGTCACTGGTTCCTGGCCCACATCATAGCTTCGATTCTGTAAGCATGCGATGGGAACCAACGAATACTGATGGCACTGCTGCCGCACGGAACATCGTACAGCGGCATGGCTTCGACGACGTGCATCACAAATGCGTCAGAATTATAGGCCTTTTCGTCAAGATTTAGCGTGTCAAGATGAAATAATATCGTGTAAACGATTATGTTATGCATGCAAATGGCGTGTGTAATATTACTGAGCGTATCGGTGGCTGAAAATGTGATCGGCAATTTGTTTTCTGTGTACGGTGAGTCATTATACTGACACTGTGACAGCTCCGTTACTTCTCCCACGCGGTCTGGGTAAATTTTCCCGTGTCGAAAGTCCAAGTGCGGACAGTGGTCACATTTGACCATTTCTCATGATGAGTGGATACCGGTTTTCAGAACATTTCACGAAAACGTTCTACAGTATAGACTGTATAGTACGTACGTATCCATAGAGCGGTCTAAAAAACGACCAATATAGTATCATGCCGGGGGGGGGGGGGGGGGGGGAATCAGGCTTCTTTCTTTGAGAGGCCGCCTGGGTATTTTGGGGGGGGGGGGAATACGAAAATGTTAGGAAAAAAAAATTTCCAGAGGCGAAATACAAATAAAGAAGAACTCAATCTTCTGCTAGTGTTGTCAAATATAGTGTCACTGTCACTTCAAAAATGTCACTTCAAGAAAGACATTTTCCAGGCCTGAGGAAGATCGTTTATTTGTATTTTGTTCGTAACATTCAAGCTCAGATTATCTATAAACAAATTATTAAACGAAATAGAAGCCGCATCTTAGGCCAAAAGAAAGTTCTGCTTCCGGTTCCCTACCTACCCTATTTTTTTATGGGAAAATGAGAACAAAACAACCGATACCATCAATGTCTACCTTGTGACGCATACGTCTCCATAATGATCCTACCAAAAAAAAATGTCAAAAAAAATTAAAAATACATTCCCTACCTACCATACCTACCATATTTTTGAACGCCATGAAAAAATAATCGGAAGCAGAACTTTTTTGTTTGTTGCCTTCACAAATGTCCCCAAAGCGTCAGCATTCGAGAAAATAGTCACACCCTCTCTCACATGCAAGATTTTCTGGCTACGCAACCGGCAGTCTGGGACATCACAGGGGAGCCTCCCTAGCAACAGTATCTCTAGGCAACCAGGTTGGAGCGTGACAGTGGGCATGCTGCACCTGCGGCTCAGCCTAGCAAAGAATTCCAGCCATTGGCCATCAATATCCGTTTGAGTGCGGAAGGCGCGTCATATTCATGAAAGCATTAATAGTCCGTGAAGAAAGCAACCAATGGCGTATTTATTTGCCATGACCGGCTCATTTAATTGGCTGAGGCTGTTCATGGGACACCGTCCTCAAAGTTCGGCGGCGCCTTTAGCTGATGCCAAACTGATCCTTTGTATATAACGAGCAACAGATGTATTGTATCAATTTGAACAATGCGGCCATCAATCATTCTGCTGGGAAGGGTTTTTTTAAGATTTTATTTGGGCATTTTTTTCAAAGACCATAAAAACTTCAAACAGAAAATGAGGTAAACTGAAATTTCACACGGGCCCCTTTTGTGAATATGCACATGAAAAAATAACGAGTCGGGTAAGGATATTCCAAGTCCCAAAATAATTCATTAAATGCAGGGCCCTCCATGTGTTTATTTCGGGGCAAGACTTTATTCTTCATTTAAACCCCCCATCGCCTCCCCCCCCCCCAAAAAAAAACCCCACCCCACCCCACTATGCCTACATTATTCCGTGAAGGCTAGATGTTACTCTAGAATGTATTTTGACGTTCAATATAAAAGTCCAAGGGCTGTTGATAATCTTGATCTTATTCCTTTAAAATAAAATAAAAAATAAGCATAATTCGTATTTACGTTTCCCCAGGTGTTCACAGAAGATTTAACTGAGAGTTCATAATTTAATGGGCTAGGATGTTGGAAATCGTTTTATTTTAAAATCAAGCGAATCAGACAAATGGTATTAAATTAACCACTTGGTTGTATTCGGCGTCTCTCTCTAAAATAAAATGGCATGGCCTTTTAATAGTTTTATTGTGTAAATATACTTTGACGTTCAGTATAAAAGTCCAAGGGCTGCTGATAATAATCGTGATGTTATTCCTGAAAATAACAAAATCTAAGTATCATAATTCGTATTAAATTTTCTACAGGAATCAACAGGAGATTTAGCGAAGAGTTCGGAATTTAATGGGCTAGGACTTTTGAGTTATTCTGGAAATCGCATTTTTATTGTAACAATCAAGAAATTTAGAACCAGACAAATTATATTAAATTAACCCCTTAAATGTATTCGGTGTCTAGCTCTCTCTCGCTCTCTCCGAGGCTATAGAAAATAAGACAAAAAAGTGCGGTATAAACCAGTCTGTGCATATACACGTACGGTAGCTATTCGCTATAGCGCAGAGCGCTAGCATGGCAGGCCCACGCGGTGCACTGTTTACTGGTCAGTCGGATTCGACGTCGTAAAAATGCCAAGAAAACACCAATGGAGAAGGAACATTTTTGCAAGTTTATTCACAGAGCTTGATCTCTCTTGTCTGTGTATGTATTTTCCGTGTTCAAGCGTTCATTTTGAGATGGCACTACTCGTACTTGGAGTGATACGATCCAGCGTGTTTCCCCAAAATTGTCCACAGTAAAAACGAGGTCTGTCGCCCGCTGGCCACACATGCATTCACTCATGAATTACGGAGTTTTGGCCAGTTTCCAGTCTTGACTAGCGTTAACTTTTTGTGGCATTTTTTGTATAGCTTTCGTAGTGCAATGGAAAAAGTTCAGTCTAAAACTCCGCATATAATTGAATACCCCATTCAATCAGCATTAAAAAAAATGGCAAAAAAAATATTCCGACCGACCGACCCTATTTTGGAAAAGCATGTAATCAGAAGCAGAAGTATTTTTTGGCCTAAATGGGAATGACGATTTTCTTCGTTTATTAAAAAACAACATTACAACAACAACAGCGCACTGCCTATTATTTTGTTTTAATGATACTCTAGAATGTACTTTAGAATATATTTGATTGTTCGATTAAAAGACCAAGGGCTGTTGGTAATCTTGACCCTTATTCCTTTAAAAATAAGAAAAACTTTAGAACAATTCATATTAAATAAAATCACGAATTCGCAGGATTTAACGAGGAGTTTAGAATTTAATGGGCTGGGATGTAGGGAATTGTTTTGTTTCAAAAATCGAGAGGACCAGACAAATTTGTCTAGAATATATATTAAAAATATTCTTTGACGTTCAGTTAATGGTCCAAGGGATGCTGGTTACCTTGATATTATTTGTTAAGAAACTAAGCATAGTTCGTATTAAATGTTTCCCAGAAATCCACAGGATATTTAACGGAGAGTTCGTGTAGGTGTTTGTCGTTGTTTTACTTTAAAAAACGACCAAGCACATTTTTATACATGTTCCCCAATTACAGCCGGGGAATAAAATAGGGTCCTATATATTCTTGTCTGGAAAGCCATTTCGAGACGATGATTGACAGGCGAACTTCAAAACTTATACATTGTATAATCTTTGATGATAAGCGGCCTTGGAGGTATACTTGCACCATACATCGGTCAGCATGCCTTCTTGTAGCTGGAAAGATCGTGGTCAAAAGTTGATACACGATAGCAGATAATTGACCCAAGGATTTTACGACTGCATTATCTAACCACAAGTGCGTGTACTGGAACAATAAAACGATGTGTAGGCTGCTGCAGGAGGGAACGTTGTTTATAGAATCCATGAACGAAGGCAGGAAGTTTACAACCTTAGCCTGACCGCAGACTGTTTACCAATCGGATAAGCATGCCGTTTTGCGGCCTTTCGTCCAAACGCAACGAGATTATCGGGAGGATTATAGGTAACCATTGGTTACCGTTAACCGGTGGTAGGTTTACAATAATCGGTACTGTATTTTATCATTCATTCATAAATACATGTACCTAAGACAGTTTACCCATTCCTGTTGGTCGAGAGCCCATCATGTGGGTGGTTTTAAACAGCTGATAAAATAACGGCTGACTGGTTTTAAACCTTTTTCTGGTGTCCCATGAATTTTGACTCCTATGAAATCTTGTCCCTTTTAGTACCCTTTTATTGGATGAACGTTCACAATCTTGACTTAGGCAGTGCTACCAATGAGTCGGTACATCGAGAGTCCTAAATTCACACTACACCAGCACCACTGTGTTCTGCGCCACATCACGCAGTGCGTGCCTGCGTGTGCCAATCTCCATATAAGGAGATGTTTACGACTACTCACGAGAGGCACATATCAAAACATAGCTACATGCAGAGGGGTGTAAAAAAAACATGAAGTAAAGTTGTTGAACAAAATCGTTGAAAACTTATAAATGCTCAAAGGTATTTATGAATGGGAATAAATGTGCTTTGCCGGCATTACAACAAGTACCAGTACATGTGTGTTTAAACCAGCTCAGTCCCCTGAGCCTTTTTTAAACGTACATACTTGTTTAAAATCGGCCAAGTACACATTTATTCACTTAATAAAATCATCTTTTACCCTCTTGGATCTTCACAATCCACCATGATGTTTTCAAGGATTGTGCAGGACTGTGGACAATGAAATATGACGCACAACAAATGTGCCAATGGGTTTCTGCACCTGTTTTGCAGATACGGCTGGAGGTAGACGTAGGATTAATCATTTCCAAAACTAAAGAGGCTTGCAAAGCTCAGTTGTGTCAAAATGTGTATTTTGAATCCTTGATGTTGATCGGTTGTTCTCTTGCAACAGCAAAGTGAATATTATGTATTCCATATTGCATGATTCATACTACACATTGCCTACCATTCTTTCTCACCTCCCCTGTGTGCAGGAAACCAATGACACCACAGCAAGGGCACGCCAGTCTTTCTCCAGATGCATAGCCAGGGTTTTGTTTGCCCATTGCAAAATATAATTTTTTCGTCCCGTTAACCCATTTTTGCCATCCTGATTTTGCTTCTATCAGCGTCCCGATTTTGCTTTTAAAATCTCTAGCCCGTTGCACTCTGCCACTCCTCTGGTTACACTACTGTCTCTCTCGTATTTGCACAGTCGAGAGGCGATCTGTACATGGAACCATAATAGCTGATTCTTTGTTGTCATTTTTTTTCCATTTCTCCCGTCCCAATTTTGCTTCTATCAGCGTCCTGATTTTGCATTTAAAATCTCTAGCCCGTTGCACTCTGCCACTCTGCAACCCCCCTGGTTACACTACTGTACATGTATCTCTCTCATTTGCACAGTCGAGAGGCTATCTCTACATGGAACAAAAAAATCTGATTCTTTGTTTTCATTATTTCTTCCATTTTTTTCTCTCCCATTTCTTGTTAGTGTCCTTGCCAGAGTCAGGGATAAGCAACCGTATCCGTGCCTTGTTTGACAGGGCGTGTGAGAGTCAGCACTCCCGCCACTGTGTACTGCTGTGGAGGATGTACATGCAATTTGAGGTAATGGAAAAAAAAACGTATTCATCAACTTGCTCTGTCTAGTAACTGTACAATCTTTGTACGCTTATCATAAAAACTGGGCTTCAAGCCTAGTCTTTCTTTTAGCCTTCGCCCTGCTAATGAGTCAAGAAAGAAAACTGTATGTTCGAACGAAAATAACCCAGAAGTGTTTACATGTAGTTTGATTTTGAGGTCCTCTTATGGTTTTCTGTTCTTTACATTCATCAGGTCCAGCAAGGCAACTTGAAACGAGCCGAGTCCATATTCTACAGCGCATTGCAACACTGTCCATGGGCTAAGGTTGGTACCAAACGTGTAGCATTCATTGAAAACCCTAACAATCCCCATCCAGTCAAACTCCAACACCAGGGTTTGTTAGAATCTGTTTTATAATAAACTGATTATGCTTTACATGGGGTTAGGAATGCGACCAATATCAGTCCAACAATGTTTGTGTGCAGTTCACCATTTGGTGTTGGAATATGCAGGAGTGAGGAAGGTTCCTAGTAAATCACTCAAGGGGGTTAGGGTCAAAGAAACTTATCCTCCTGGTGCAGTTCTTGCCCCCCCCCCCAAAAAAAAATTACATGTATACCTTTTGAAGGGTAACTGATTCTCTAGGAACTAATTTAAGAAATCAAGGAGCTTTAAAAAGAAATTTCAAAAATGTTGAAAAAGATTGCTAAAGTTGAAGCGCCTTTGCCAATATGATAACCAAAACCTAAAATCGGACAGTATGTTCTATAGGCCATTGTCAGATCTAGACACTGACATGTGTTTCAGTGAAAAACAATATAAAATGACAGATGAAATAAAACTACTTGAACCAAACTCTGTTAACTTGGTCTTTACAGTCTTGTAAGAATCAGGAGCGGGGGTGGTGTACATATCAATATTTATGTCCATTCCTACCAGTGTCTAGGAGGGGCTTGGGTTCATCTGTTCTTTGTAACCTTGAGTGATCACTGAAAAACGTTTTTGGGAGGTGTTCATATAAAAAAAGTTACAAAGTCAAAATTGGGGTTATATACTTCGATTAATAACACCCGTGACTGTTACGTTTAAAGCTATAGTCCATCATTTGTAATTAGTGCATTTTGTTCGTTTGAAGCAACAAAAGTGTTCAAAATCTATTGAAGGATACTGAGCAACTAACCCGATGAAGTTTCAGCTAAGCTTCAGCTGTACATTCCGAGAAAAAATAGCATTCTAAGATCTCAATTTCAAATCAAAAGTTGCTGAATCATGTTTTGAATTGTTTTGAATTGCAGCTATACGCGGCGTCGCGCACTGATCCGACGAATTATAACAACCGCGTGTGCGTGTGCGTCGTTCCAATGCTTGTGCGCGCTGCGCTGAATAACAAAACGAACTACTAATTTAAATTTTCCTACGGTGCTTCTTAAGAATCACCGTTGGAAATGCCTTCTTTCGTTGATTACTTCAAAATGACAGCTTCCCAGAAAGAATAATTTCACAGGGAGTTTAGTTCCCTTACAATCTTTCAAAAAAGTTTGTTTTTCAACAGTTATTATGCCAGTTACTTCTCGGATGGCTGCAAATGATGGACTATAGCTTTAAACAAGCGTATATCCTCTTGTATTTTTTGTTTTGTTTCCTGGTTTCAGGTCCTGTACATGGATGCGGTCAGATACTTCCCCACCAAGTTGCAGGATTGTCAGGATCTGCTGATGGAGAAAGAGCTTCGCATCCGAGCACCCCTGGAGGAAGTGGAGCTCCTCATCAAGACCTGAGCTCAATTCCTTGGTGCTAAGCAGAAAATGATGCTTAGCAGATGCATGTGTTAAGCCAAAATCAGAGGGCAACCAGTCACAAACAGTGTGCATTGCATAGCATTTTGGCTGGTAACTTGTTTTTACCAAATTTTTGATTTTGCAAAAAAACAAGATTTTTGAAAAAGACAAAATATATCGGCCAAAGTTTAAGATCAAGTCAAACACCACAAATATACTGACTCTTGAGAATCATTTGTACCATATTTGTATGATACTTCTCACCGTTACTTCATATTTTGCAACAATATGTTGATATTTGCAAAGAAGACAGACCATGTACAACGACAGTTCAAGTTCATTACACGGTGTGTAAAAAAGAATGGGAACCACTGATGACACCCCCGGAGATTCAAGGAAAGCTTTACGATTGAACCTGTCACCCGCCCCTGCGAATATATGGTGGTGTACCCTAACGTGGCGCACTTCGACAACTCACTGGACATCCGTTCAAATTGCTTCAAAATCCAAGAGCCGATTCTGTTCAGACTTACACACGTTAGTGCCGGATTGAACACCCTCCAGAAAAACTGTCATTCATTTTGGTTTAGTACAAATGACAAAAAAAATCAGAGAGTACGACAGAATTGTCGAGAAGTTACTTACGCAAAACTGTCGAACTGTCCCCTAACGTGGTGCACGCCGCTGATTGGCTGAAATGGTTTGGTACCATGCTACGGTGGCCTATGACGATCATTTGCCCTAACGACAATTTGCCGTGAAAAAAAGTTTCATTTTATTGCATTTTATGTTATGCAGGAAACAATATGGATCTTTAGGTGTTTACAAGTTTACAAACGGCTACAACATTAAAAACAGTTGAAAAGTAAAGCAAATCTCTTGAACCTCGAAATCAGAAAATATAGCAATGCAAAAAGACATGACCCTTAAATAAAAAATAAACATGGTCATTTCTGTTTTAGCCTCTGAAAAAGAACTTGCAACGTCAGGCCACATTGATTTTTAGAAAAAAATAAACAGTTACAAAAACGTACGCTCGTCCAATATTGTAAAAAAAATAAAAATAAAAATATCCAGTAACTTGAATAAATGTTTTTTAAAAAGAAGTAGGGCCTACGATACCAACAAATGACAATACAGACAAACAATACACTTTTGCCAGCTACATGTACCAAAATCGAATAAAGAAAAACAGTTACGAAAGTTGACAGGTTAAAAAACAGTTAGGCCTATGAAAGTTAACAGGTTAACTCTGCCACCGATACTGGAAAGTAAAAAAAATAATACATATCCCCACGTACACTGAAGTTATTAAAACATATTGTTCATATATTTGTGACCGTGTGCATGTTATTTATAGTTCCCTTTTCCTCGTTCCAACGCTGCAAATGGGACACAGAAATTCTTCTTCGAGCGTTGGTTCCGTCACTCTGTTGCAACAGTACTTCAGGTGAACCCAGCTGTAGCACTTGTCGCATCGGGCCCAAAGTATTATCTTTGGACCTCCAGTTTTCTTGACATTTTTCGGCCATCTTCTGTTGCAAACAACACAGTTGTCGTCCTCATCGCTCACATCATCTGATGATGGGTCGGGAGAAGAAGCCTTTCGGCAGCATCTGCTGGTAGATGGCTCTTGCGACTGCGGCAGTGACGCCGTGCACGTGGCCCGCAGCGGTGGGGACTTGGGTGCTTCCGTGGCGGATGACGCTATAGTCGGTATGGGCATTGACGGTGTGATTAGCGGCGACAATGGCGGAGGCATGGGGGACATCGGTGGTGACTCGTCGTACGATGCTGCCAAGTGGTCTGCTGCTGGTGCCAAGTGGTCTGCTGCTGGTGCCAAGAGGTCTGCTGCTAGTGCTAGGTCTGCTGCTTGCGGAGTCGGCTCCTTCGATTTGCGGCCTCCTTGTTTACTTTTAACCTTGAGGTATTCGTCTTCCTCCGTCAGCATTCGGGCACTTCTGATTGCTTTTGGTCGCCTGGCGAACACTTCTGGAGATGATGGAAACTTCTCGATAGGGGCGAATAGACCATGGATGGAAGAACTTCCCCTCTCCGGTTGCTCAGGGAGCTTGCTCAGCACGACGTCAGGGTTGAATGGGCAAATTCCAGTGCATCTGAAGGATGATACTAAACTGTCACTGCTAATTCCCATCATGTAAGCTTTGCATGCCAGCGAGGCGATGTCTTCTTCGACCAGAATGCGACCTGTGTTCTTGTACTTGTGGAGCCAATTGTGAACTGCTCTGTTGTAGGTGGCCTTGAAAGGAGCAAAGCAGCCCACGTCAAGGGGTTGTAGGATGTGGGACGTGTGTGGAGGTATGACAAATAAATGCACTCCTTCCAACCGGGCCTCTTCGATAATCTGCACGCTGATGTGGGTAGAATGGCCATCATACAGCAGAAGAAGCGGCCTAACTGACCCAACTTGTGGTAGGAAGTGACCCTTGAACCATTGGAGAAAGGTAGCACTGTTGCTCCAGCCGGTCTTTGTGGCATTATTACCTGTCCCTGACAAAGTCCCCTCCGTCCACTCTTGTCGAACCCTTGCCCCCTTGAAGATGATGTATGGCGTGAGCCGATTTCCCATGGCATTCCCACAGGCAATGATGGTGTGTATTGGACCCCGTCCACACGAGACAGCATTGAATGCTCCTTGGCTCGGCCCCAGAGATTTCGGTGGCTTGTGATCTCTCGTGATTCCTGTTTCATCGACGTTGTATATCTGGGCAGGACAATCACGCAGGTTGTACTTCTCGAGAACCTCTAGAAGTTTCCCAAAGTACGCCTCTAAAATTGATCTCCTGGACATTTCTGCCCTCAAGTGATCCAGTCTGCTTGGCCTCCTCGGTCTTATGATATTCTTCCGTCTTGTGAGGAAGCCGTAGTACCAGTTTGGTCCTGGTACGAAGTCGGTGAATCGGCACTTGCGCTCTTGATCCTCGCTGCACAAGATCCGGGCCATTTCGCCGGCGATCTCACGGATTTGACTTCCAAGATAGGAGTACCCCATTTGCCCCACATATGAAATGTGTTCTGCCAGCTTCTTTTCTTCATATTCTTTGAAGAATGTTGTACGTCCACCTTGTGGTTTCCCGGCAGGTACTCCATTTGTTGCCCATCGTCTCAGCGTGGACTCGGGCAAATTGAATTTTTTTGCCGTCAGTCTTTGACTTCCAAAGAATGAACGGCAGCAAGCATGGAATTCTGCCGAAGATCTCTCTACAAAAATGAATAAATAAACAAACAAACGATATACTACAAGTTTATTTATTTTAAAATTTAATACATGATTAAATATACAACTCTAGCTCAAGTTAAGAGAATAGAAAAATCAGCAGTTATGTTTCAATAATACATTTATTTCTGACACGATATTTAAAGGCATCCTAGACGTTTTAAATACTGTGGCGGGCACGACAATTGGATCTGGGGGACGCACCAACCAGGGGATAGGAAATAAAGAGGATAGGACCTCAATTAGGGGAGGGGAGGTGCAGTCACAAAGTCGTTTAAGTAGTGGTCAGGCGGCGCGGGGAGGCGCCAATAATTGCCACGATTATTATTTATTATAACAAATTACACTTGAGCGGCTAAGTATAATCTGCGGGGACATTCGTTTTAGGAAAATATATCCTAATTTATGGGCCGATTGGACGGACAAAAGTGAATAAACAATTGGACACAAGATGTGAATGAACAACAAAACAAGGAATAAATTTATTCCGGTCCGCAACAATTAATAAAAGGGAAACAATAACAATGAACAGAATGCAGTTAAATTAATTTGATCACTCAGTTTCTGAGTTAATTAACTCAGGTTATATACCAGAGCAATACGATTACTGGTAAAATACTAGCGCTCTCCCTCAGGAGGTGCAAGTGAAAATGACCAATCGGACCTCCAGGAGGTGTCCAATTAGGCCTATTTGCAATTAAAATCAGTCACAAAAGCAGGACAAATTATTGCCTAGAATCCTTCCTTGACTGACAGCTAAAGATAAAAGTTCGTTCCTAGAAATAAATGTTCTTACCGGTTAAGATGAATTCCTGGTGATAGACTAAAATTATAACACTGGTACTATACTGGACCCGGGCTGACACAATAGAAAGATGATTTGATATGTGGCACTGTCGGCAGCAACCTGGCAAGTGACCCTAAACTAGACTGTACTTAGCAACCAACTTAAACTTCGCGCCACAGCGCAGCTATAAAAATCGCCCAAACATGCGCCATGTACACATAAGGAAATATGGACGCGCCCAAAGTACAGATAAGCGGCGCCCAATAATACTCGCGCCCAATAGCGCACAATTCCGCGCTGCATGCACAAGTGAAATGGCAATGCGCCCAACAAGGCGCTTCACGCTCTTGCTAATACGCGCGCGCGGCAGAAGTAAACACTTAAGTACAAAAATTACAAGGCGATCTTCAAGAAAATCTTCAACGTGAGTAAACTAATTTCCGTTACACAGCCCCATTCGAGGCCTGAACGGTCCCTGTTCAATAAGGCCGAAAACAGTTTACTAAATTAGTTTACGAGCATAGCAATATTCGATACAACAATTATTTTACATGTATGTATGCATGAAAATACACACATTTTTTTTTTTTGTGTGTGTGAAAACTTCCAAAGACCTTCATATAACGCAGTTAAACACTCGCTAATCAAAACTGTCCAATTAAAATTAACTGTCCACAATTCATTGGGTGGTGAAGAAGACGTCTCTGCTCTCTACTTGGTGATCTCATAAACCCGGACCCTACAGACTTGTTTAAGATCTCCGCTTCTGTAGTATTTGTTCAATGTTTCTGTCACCTTGGTTACCCTCCCTTCCAGGGCAGTTTCCAAGAAGGTCTTCTTGACGGTAGCGACAGCCTTCGAAGACACTGGAATTGGTGCATCGGTGTCTGCAGCATCCTCAGCAGTGCTATCGTCGCTGTCATCGGAGGACTCGGGTTGATGAACCTGCTGGGACTTCAACAAGGCCAAAGGCTTGCCACCGAGGGTGGCTGGAGGCGCAGTGGCAGCAGTGGGCACTGGGGATGCTGTGTAGGCTGGCACGGGAGGTGCTGTGTAGGTTGCCACGGGAGGTGCTGTGGCAGCAGCTGGCATAGGGGATGCTGTGTAGGCTGGCACGGGAGGTGCTGTGTAGGTTGCCACGGGAGGTGCTGTGGCAGCAGCTGGCATAGGGGATGCTGTGTAGGCTGGCTCGGGAGGTGCTGTGATCATAGCCCCGATGTCAAGCTCGTCAATGAAAAGACTCATGGACGGTGATGGTGATAAGCTCAGGGCTTCATCATTGATTGGTAGCAGATCGTTGAGGGGCAGGGAGGGCTGCGTTGCCATCGCACAGGGGACAGGCTCCACTGCCATGGGTTGCTCCTTACCATGGCTCGCCCTCATCCTTGGAGAGGCAGATGGAGGAACCATCCGGGGTTGGCCCAATGGCGGCTCAGCACCCCAGCGCCTTATGCCACTGCTGTGTAGGTTGGGGGCTAATGGTGACGGCTCGGAGTTGTCCTCACCAAGGCTCATCAGGATGCCTCCGAGGTCGTCAAGGTGAGTGGGATGCACTCGGCGGTAGTGGCGCCTGAGGTTGTCCCTCCTTTTGCTCTTAAAAGAGCAGCGGAGGCAGGAGGCTATCAAGGGTGGCCCATGGGCTGCCTGTATGTGTCTGTACAGGCTGCGCCTCTGTAAGAATACCTTGGTGCACCTTCGGCACTTCAAAAGCCTGCTAGGATCCAGGTCATCTGGCGCTTGTTGGGCCATTCTAAAATGAGTAACATAAACAGAAATATGTACAATTATTACACTTATCGATACCTTACGGGTACCTTGTGGGTTCTCTTGGGGTTTCTCCTGCTTTGGGATGGCATTTCCACCCTATGAGGCCCAATTAACCCGTCCACTTCGGCAGGGGTTTCATTTTCCCCAGTAACCCGGATAATTTCCGGTTGCTCTACCCCATTATCAGGGTCAATAACATTGGTTATTCCTTGATCTGACTCAGAGTTACCGCACTGAGCTGCACGGGGAGGGTTGTCGGTAAACCGCTCGCCAGTGTCTTTCAATGTGCATTGGGTCCAGTTCCACGCCTTCATAGGCTCCCCTTCATACATTTTGAGACGGTCATAATGAACGACCTTTGGTCTTGCTTGTTTATTCTTCTGCACTCGATAAACAGCATCTGACAATTTGGAAAGGATCAAGTAGGGACCCTCCCAATGGCTTACGAGTTTTGGGCAAACGCCCTTCTTTTTGGCGGGATTAAATAGCCAAACAAAATCACCTTCCTGTAGGCACTCACCACCGACCCGACGGTCATATCCTTTCTTCTGTCGTCTTGCACTAGCCCCGAGGTGCTCGGACGCTCGCTCGTGGGCACATTGCATTCTGTGTCGGAGCTCCTCTACATAATCTGCCTCATTATTGGCCTCTCGTGGGGCATTTTCTGTGGTGAGGTCTATGGGTAGGGACGTTTCTCGGCCCATCATCATCATGAATGGCGTTTCTCCCGTACTCTCCTGGGGAGTAGAGCGGTATGCAAAGGTGGCGTACGGCAGTTGTACGTCCCAATCTCGTTGGCGCTTGTTTGGTTCAATCATGGTGGCGACCATATTTATTAGTGTCCGGTTGAAGCGTTCGATAAATCCATCCGATTTGGGATTGTACGGGGTGGTTCTGGTTTTATGTATGCCCAAGATTTTACATACACTTGAGAACACAGCCGCTTCAAAATTTCGCCCTTGGTCAGAATGTAATTCTGTCGGGACCCCTAGTCTACAAATAAACTGTGTGACTAGCGTCTTGGCAACAGTTTCAGCCGTAGTATCAACCAGTGGGTAAGCCTCAACCCATTTGGTGAAATAATCACCAACTACTAGTATCCATCGATTGCCATCTGCCGTTTCAGGCAAGGGGCCTACAATATCCAAGGCAACCCTCTCCATTGGATAACCCACATGCATTTGCTGCAAAGGAGCCCTACTTTTCTTTGGTGGCGACTTCCTCCTCGAACACCGGTCACATTTCCGAATATGTGAGCGGAGATCGGCCCTCATCCCATACCAAAAATAACGGGGAGTCAATCGGGCAAATGTTCTCCGAAATCCCAGGTGGCCACTTGTGGCGCCTCCGTGCAATTCAGACATAACACTTTCTCGTAGTCCTTTTGGCAACACTGTTTGCCATTGCACACCTTTACCGTCACCAGCTTCCCATCTGCGAAAGAGTGCCCCATTCAAGACTCTCAATTGGTCCCAACGGTACCAGTACGTCTTTGCCACTACTGATTTCAGGGCAATGGCATCCCATTCCGGTCTACCGGTAGCTTTTTCTTTGGCTTCTATAATCCATGCCATGGATTGATCTTCTAACTGTGCCTTTCTGACAACCTCACAAGTCACACCTGGCTGTGCTCTCACAACTCTAACCTGTGACTCAGTAGCTTCAGTAGGCGTTGCAGAATCTACATCTTCCAGCGAATTGTCTGGTCCCATACCGCATTGGCGGCAGGGTAGTCTGGAGAGACTGTCAGCATTAGCATGTTTCAGACCCGGCCTGTGGATAATCGAGTAGTCATATTCGCCGATAACCTCAAGCCACCTAGCGAGTTGACCTTCTGGATTCCGGAAATTAGTCAACCAACGTAAGGAGCCGTGGTCAGTTCGGACGATAATTTTGTTTCCATACAGGTACTGCTTAAAGTTCTTTAAGAAACACACTACTGCAAGGAGTTCTCTGCGAGTTACGCAATAATTGCGCTCTGGCTTTGATAGACTTCGGCTGGCATAAGCAATTACCCGTTCTGTCCCATCTTGAATCTGGGAAAGCACCCCACCTATACCAACCCCACTTGCGTCTGTATCAAGTATATACTGCCCCGTAGGTTGGGGGTAAGCAAGAATGGGCGCCTCTTGCAAGCGCCTCCGGAGGGTCTGAAAGGACCTCTCGCAATCTTCGTCCCATTCAAATTCTCGGGACTTTTCAGTAAGTCGGTGAAGGGGTTTCGCTATGTCAGCAAAACCTCTTATGTATCGCCTGTAGTAGGAGGCAAGACCTACAAAACTTCTCACTTCTTTAACGTTGGTAGGGGTCGGCCAATCTCTGATCGCCGCTATTTTGTCGGGATCGGTTGCGATGCCATTCTCTGATACCAGGTGGCCGAGATACTTTACACACCTCTTAAACATGTGACATTTGGCAGGTTTCAACTTAAGGTTTGCACATCGCAATCTGTGGAAAACTTCCCTCAATCGGGTCAGTTCCTCTTCAACCGTTTTCCCATAGACGATAACATCGTCCAAGTACACTAATAGTGTTTGCCACTGAAGGCCGGCGACCACTCGCTCCATGAGTCTTTCAAAAGTGGCGGGGGCATTACATAAGCCGAAAGGCATAACCTTCCAACTATACAACCCCCCTCTCACAACAAACGCAGATTTTTGCTTAGCTTCGTCGTCTAATTCAACTTGCCAGTACCCAGAAGAAAGGTCTAAGGTTGTGAACCACTTTGCCCCGGATAAGGCATCAAGGGTGTCATCAATTCTAGGAACTGGGTACGCATCCTTTATGGTTACAGAGTTGAGACCCCGGTAGTCAATACAAAACCGTTTGGAACCATCTTTCTTTGCCACAAGAACAACGTTAGATGCCCAAGGACTGTCCGACTTTTCAATTATTTCCCGGTCAAGAAGGTCATTGACCTGCCTTGAGATTTCTTCCTGGTTACATGGTGGCTGTCTACGCAGCCTCTGTTTTATCGGTCGGGTGTTCCCCGTGTCTATTTGATGTTTCACAAGCCCAGTGCGGCCAATATCATTGTCTCCTTTGGAGAAAATGTCTTGAAACTCACACAGTAGCTTCTCAACTTCACCATGATAATGCGGTGATAGATTACTAACTGTCCGTTCAAGGAGGTCTTGGAGGTGCGACGGAACCTCCCCTTCATCTTCTGAAGACACCTCCTGGAGGTGGCCTTCTTCTACGTCACATTCATCTACTTCTGTAAGCATACCAGCTGTCGTACCACAGCGGAGCACACACTTACTTGTCCCGGGATTAAACACCCTCAAACCCACTACATCTTGTCCGGCACGGACAAGTGTTCTAGCGAGCACTAATCCTCGTTCTGATAATTCACCTCCAGTGTCCGCTGGCTCAATCATGCCCAGCGCTACTTCTTTTCCGTTTGTCTTTACGCAGCCTGGCACTATTACTTCGTGTCCAGCTGGTACCGATGTAGTTTCCTCAACTACTACTCGGAAACAGAATGAGGAACCATCTTGGTCCATACATTTTATTTTCTCTCCATCAACACTAAGTACAAGTGAACGGAGGTTTAACTCTGCTTTGGCCGGCAACAGGAAATCCATGCCCAATATTGCAGGGACTGGTAGGTCGGCAAATATTGCACACACCGGTACAATAGTTCGACCAATTTGTATCTCCAGTTCCGCCTTGCCTAGTATGTTACCCATAAGGCTTCCATTTGCCTGTCGAACATTGATTTCATTTTTCTCAAGTATCGGACGCTTGTCCTTCGGGATTTGATAATACACGGAACCCGAAATAAGTGTGTCTGTTGAACCCGTGTCAACCAAAAATTGAACATCAATCGTTTGTACTGAGCCTTTCACATAAAGGCCTTGTTTTGATACACAATCTTGCATCATGCGCTCTTTAACATGTTTCGATGCTGGCTGAACTATCTCAGCATGGGGAAATTCCCCCTTTGACCCTCGGTTTTGCTTTGCGGTCTTCCCTCGGGGCCCAGGGTCGACCGGCGTTCGTTTCCCGCCTGCTTTCTTGAGGGACACTCTTTGGCAAAGTGACCTTTCCCCCCGCATCTGTAGCATATCAGCATCTCTACCTGCTGATTCCCCCTATTGTTCATCTCCCTTGTGGGAATCCCTGTCGCCCCCTTGTTAGAGTCGTGAAACTCCCTGAGTTGTGCCGCCACAACTCGTTTAATCTGGTTAGAAAGTTGATCTTCGTTCTTCTCACTCGCCCGGCAATGCTTTAATTTCTTAGTGTCTTCTCGAAGTGACTCCATCCTCTCGAAGTTTTCGGTGGCCAGGGCGGCTCTAATTGCTTCATCGAGGGTTCTCGGTCTAGTTCTGAAAATTCCCTCTCTGATCGACTGACGCGCAATGGCATCAGTAAAATGGGCTCGCGCTAGGCGATCTCTGCCCTCTTCATCAAATTCTGGATAGGCAAGAACTACAAGTTCTCTAATCGCCTGACCGAGATCACGCAGGGACTCGTCCATCGCCTGCCTTCGTGACCTAAGCTCCATTAGGTAATTCTCGGCCATCTGACCCGGCCCAAACTGGGCCTCGAGCAATTCTAGCAACTCCCTGTACTGGAGTGCCGGTTGCCCCTCATCTTTATTCCGATTTCCAAGCACCTTCAGTGCTATGCCTTTTAAACTCGCGGCCAAAAACACGGCCGCCTGATTATCGTTCCAACCATTAGCTATCCTACAAGCCTCAAAATGGCGACGATAATCCCTCCATGGAGACTAACCCTCGAACCGGTCGGGTGTAATATTGGGACGTCCTCTGATCGCCCCGTTTGTACCCATAATGACCGGTTCATTAAACCCTTGTCCACCCCTTACCAAAGGCAATGGGCATCCACCCATTTTTGTGGACTCGTCAAGAGTGGCGTTCTCTGACCACAGAGGACTGGGCCCTTGAGTCCTCTGCTTTGCACCCCCCGGAAGCGTCTTTCCGTGGTGCACCAACTGTTCACGTCCGGTACCCTCTGGTCCGGGAACAACAGGAGCCGACGTGTCATAAGACAACACGTTGCCCGACGTCTGATGGGTGCCGGTACCTGCCCCACCAACACGCCCAAATAATATCTCCGGATCTTCTTCATCCGGTTGTATAAACGTACCGAGCGGGGTTTCTATATATTCCGCTCGGGACTTGCCAGCTTGCTGCCGTCTCCTTGATAACTCATCAAGGGAGCGTTGCAGTTCAGTTTCTTGCAGTTTTATCTGCTGCATAAGATTGCTCAATTCCACATCAGCCTTATCGGGCTCACCTGTAACTTCGGTGGCCACATCTTGTTGCGCCTCACCTTCCAAAGGAGGGGATAGCAACACTATTCCATTACTTAGCTGTTTAGCCATAGTTTACTACTTGCCGTAACCACAGCGACAATAGCGCCTCCAGTGGAGGTGCAATTGCAAATTCAACAAAGAAATAATTTACACCAAACAATAAATGATTGTTCTGCACAGATTTTATTTACGATACACACAACGCAATGCGAATCACACGCTAACAAACAGCGCCTCCAGCTAGTGTGCACTATAGCGGAGGTGCAATTTGGAGGTGTTAATCTTCGCAAACTCACGCTCACAAGAGGAGGTGAAAATGTTACAAATCACTTTTATTTTCGTCCGATTTTTATGCCCATAAATATCCCACTTCTGACACCATTTGTGGCGGGCACGACAATTGGATCTGGGGGACGCACCAACCAGGGGATAGGAAATAAAGAGGATAGGACCTCAATTAGGGGAGGGGAGGTGCAGTCACAAAGTCGTTTAAGTAGTGGTCAGGCGGCGCGGGGAGGCGCCAATAATTGCCACGATTATTATTTATTATAACAAATTACACTTGAGCGGCTAAGTATAATCTGCGGGGACATTCGTTTTAGGAAAATATATCCTAATTTATGGGCCGATTGGACGGACAAAAGTGAATAAACAATTGGACACAAGATGTGAATGAACAACAAAACAAGGAATAAATTTATTCCGGTCCGCAACAATTAATAAAAGGGAAACAATAACAATGAACAGAATGCAGTTAAATTAATTTGATCACTCAGTTTCTGAGTTAATTAACTCAGGTTATATACCAGAGCAATACGATTACTGGTAAAATACTAGCGCTCTCCCTCAGGAGGTGCAAGTGAAAATGACCAATCGGACCTCCAGGAGGTGTCCAATTAGGCCTATTTGCAATTAAAATCAGTCACAAAAGCAGGACAAATTATTGCCTAGAATCCTTCCTTGACTGACAGCTAAAGATAAAAGTTCGTTCCTAGAAATAAATGTTCTTACCGGTTAAGATGAATTCCTGGTGATAGACTAAAATTATAACACTGGTACTATACTGGACCCGGGCTGACACAATAGAAAGATGATTTGATATGTGGCACTGTCGGCAGCAACCTGGCAAGTGACCCTAAACTAGACTGTACTTAGCAACCAACTTAAACTTCGCGCCACAGCGCAGCTATAAAAATCGCCCAAACATGCGCCATGTACACATAAGGAAATATGGACGCGCCCAAAGTACAGATAAGCGGCGCCCAATAATACTCGCGCCCAATAGCGCACAATTCCGCGCTGCATGCACAAGTGAAATGGCAATGCGCCCAACAAGGCGCTTCACGCTCTTGCTAATACGCGCGCGCGGCAGAAGTAAACACTTAAGTACAAAAATTACAAGGCGATCTTCAAGAAAATCTTCAACGTGAGTAAACTAATTTCCGTTACAATACATAACAATTTCAACAATATTCATATAATGTCAATTACCTCTACGTTTTGCATATCCGCTACATTTACTCGATTATAATATCTAAAGGCATCCAAGACGTTTTAAATACATAACAATTTCAACAATATTCATATAATGTCAATTACCTCTACGTTTTGCATATCCGCTACATTTACTCGATTATAATATCTAATCAAAAGTGCACCCGCACGGTACCGGTGATGCCAAGCCACATAAAAACTAGGCCTAGTTGTATTCACTTTATATGTCTATTACAGGCTACCGTACATGACGTCATGACAACCTAGAGCAGACGACACTATTTTTACGATCCGGTAAATTTCCAGTAAACTTTGGATTATTCTGCTTACTTTTCATTAATACTGATAACGTTGACTAATAATATTACTTTCTAATTAGTTTAATTGTTTTGGAATCTTGAATTAAAAGAAAACGTCTGCTTGTTACCTTTTTTTGGCCATTGTTTCTGGACGTCGACGGCATCTTGATACTTTTTGCTATGGGATCGTCTGGCTTTCTGTGTAACCTTTGACCTTCTACGCGCAATCGTGACGTCAGAAATTTGAATCTAGTATGTATATTTGCGAAGGATTGTGTGACCTTTATTAAGTGTTAATTGTAAGAAAAATGGATTGTTCATTTCGTCAAGAGAGGAGAAAAATCAAAGTGCGCCACGTTAGGGGGCGCGCCACGTTAGGGTACACCAACAATACATTGCCAGACCATGTTTACACGTCTTCCGGCATTAACCCTAACTCCCTATGCCTTTTCGTTAGGATGTAGCCTCAATCCCGCAAAATCTTCCAATTGGCCTCATGGAAAAAATAGCATATAGCCTCAATCCTGCAAATTCCTCCATTATTTCTTGAATATGGTCCGTGGAGGGGTGACCACTGCCTGAATCCTGCAAAATCCTGTGGCAGTGAATGTCAATATGTTGAGGCTTGGCCAGTGACATCCTGGAGCAGTACAGAGGATTTCAAGCATAATCCAGGCCTATATTTATGCATGGCTGAGCAAAAGCACCACAAGGTCCAGCCCAAGACCTTGACAAAGTGCATCCTACGAATCAGTAATGCAATTTTGCCATGTAACCTCAATCCTCCAAATTCCTCCACTTTTGCAAAGAGGATTTTGAAGGTTTCAGGGCGGTTAGGGTCAACCGGTTAATTTCTGTGCTCAGCATCCCATTTGAATTTGGTCCCCTAAGACTTTCCGTCGGTTACACCGCTAACTGGGTCTCTGCAGGAGGCTGTCTGGCATTAATGGAGCAATTCACTACAAGCAATGTCCCATAATAGTCATCCCAAGAAGGGGTCCGGGGAAGACAAGGGGTTAACACAACACCCCCCCCCCCACCCACGCCCACGCCCCCAAAAATAAAGCAATTCAGTGAAATCTTCATAAGTCAAACCTCAAGGGAACAGGTTCGAAATTTGACTTAAGTAGAGTTTTGAGTTAAGCAGGGTTGTATATCATTGTTATACTACTAAAGGCAATGGATTCTTTGTTTGACTTAAAAGTTGTTTTGAGTTATCAGAGTTTGACTTATCGAGATTCCAATGTAGAAGAAACCTTGCAGTTTAGTTATCTTCTTGATTTTTCATTCAATTGAGGGCGCTGTTTCCATTGTTGTTCATGTAATTTTGTCGCACACAAGCAAAAGCTATCACAACTTTTCTTGAATTCACTGTCTTAACGTGATGCGTGCCTGGTGAGATAATCGCATCAAAAAGTGGTATTTAAGAGCATGCATTGCTGAAAACCTAGAAGGGTGTTATATCTTACACCTAACAGCTAGGGTATGTTGTAGAAATTCTTGTTTGTACAGTTATTCAAAAAAGGAGAAAATTACGTAGGAATTTTGAGACATAATATTCTCCTTAATATTCTCCTTGTTTTCAGAAGGAGAGAACTCCTGATGTAATACACAAGTACAATGACGCAATGATCTAAAAATGTGTGCGTAATTGTCAGGAAATCTAGACTAGGTTTCACCCTGTTTATATTTCAATGATGCTATGCAGCAATAAAGCCAGTTAACCCAACCGTGAGGAATTGGAATTGCTATTATTTTATACTTGGTGCTTTTGTGAGATCCCCAAGTCGAAATGAAATATTCTATACATCTCAATTTAGTCTCGTTTCAGAACTAAAGATTCCAACTAAGTTAGGTGGTATTGTGCCCTTTTCCAAAAGTGGCAGAAGTCTTCCCAACAAGATCAGATATGCATGGGCATCGTGGGGGGGGGGGCGTTTGCCCCCCCCCCCCCTCGGAAAAGCAACCAAAAAAAGGAAGGAAAAAAAAGAGAAAAAAGAAAAGAAAAAGAGGCGCCAAGTCACAATTGGTGTAAATTTAATGGGTTGGGGGGGGGGGGAATGTCCCTACCCCCCTCTAAAACTGATAAATCGAGAATATGTTGAGAAATACAGGATTTTTTTCGGAAAAATATGTTTTGTCCCCCTCTTGAAAAATCCTGGCGACGCCCATGCGGATATGTTCGTGAAAGCTCGGGTGTGACATCGATGTAGAAACGAAATGCCTGCCATGCTTGTCATATCCGCACAATTTTGAATTCATTAAACTGAAGCTTGTATTAGAAAAACAATTTTATGTCCATTGCCTATAGTATATTTTTTAAAATACTTTTTAATCCACCCTAAAGAACCCCTTTGTGTGCCAGATTTGCTTCAAAGAAATGACGTTCCAGCTCTATTAGACTCTTTTCTAATTTTAACGGGGGAAAAAAAATCGATTTTAAGGACAAAATTGTACTTTTTTTATCATTACCCGTTTAAAAAACGTACTTCCTCCTGCATAAAGCGAAATACAATGTGAAATTTTGCTTTCTAATTCACTGCTTAGACAGCTAAGGCCAAATTCAGAAGAAAAAAAAATTGGAATAAGTTTGGATTAATGTAATATCTTGTAATGTCTTGTTTTCCCGCCCCCAAATTATGAAAGGTGTCCCCGCCCCTTACAGAGAAAGTTTGTCCAAAATTGTGTCACAACATGTAATTCTCATCTAGAGTTTTTCATCTACTGCAACAGTCTTGATAACGACTCTCCGATTTTCATATGAGTTTGATTTTCATATGACACCGGCATCAAAATGCTGAAATATATGCACGCACCGACGCGCGGCCGTATTTGCTTGATTATGACGTAAAGTCATCCACTAGGCCTACACGATACGGGCGGACAGTAGCGGCGCGCTGCCGTGACTTACGTCACAAAGACAATAGCTGAACATCAAACAACGCGCGGGCCATGGTAACTAATTAGCACGAAGAAACAGTGTCGCGAGTAAATGACCACCGATACACCGTCAAAATGGACCGAATGAAACAGTCAGGAATGTGTGCAGTTCATGGAAAAACTTGCTAATAAGAAGCACAAAATCTGCGATCTATTAGTCATGATAAATAGAGCGGCCCTGCATACACCACAATCCGGACGTAACACGCCTAACGAAGGCTTCTTCGACTCCAAACATTTCGCCGAGCTTGACCACATCCAGCGTCGAGAGCAGCAGCTGAGCAGAGAAGCTACCGAACGAGAAGAGCATCTCAAGGCGGAACGCCGGCGCGCTGAGGAGGAGAAACGACGAGCTCAAGACAAGAGCCGAGACGGAGGGTCGGAGGTGAGGACACCGTGTGAGTATTGTCTCAAAGCGGAAACTCGACCTGCACGAAGATATGACGGGTCAGCTTTCAAGGCCCTCCGCCGACCACTGGCTCCCAGATGCACCTGTATGGATCCTACTAACGGTGCACTCCCGGTTCTTCCCATCGAGTACCCGGTGGATATCGACGATTGGGCTTACAAACCCTTCAGCACCATCGCCGGCGGGGGCGCCGTAGGCTACCGTGACCTCTTCCCACTGCTGATGCAGAGATGTACGGAGGCCGAGGAGAAGGATAACACGCAGGTGCAGACGGAGACTCGACGACATTCCATCGTGACTACCGACTACCTGACCGGTAGGATCAAGCTGCTAGGTACGGGAGGGGAACACCTGCATATGAAGGTCTTCCCTGTTCTCCACGCGGTCGTGAGTAGCGATGAAGAAGATGACGAGGAGGAGGAGGCATCATCGGGTGAAGATCAAGATGAGCAAGCAACCCACGACGAAGCACTGCGGTCACTGAGAACAGATCATGCCATGGCAGTACCGCGAAGGAAGTCTATTCAATCCCCTCCATTCCAGCAGAGAAGACGCTCGTCTCTGATTCTGGGTGGCTCACCGGTCGGTCGTGGACCACCAGGCGCGGCTGCTAAGGTAATCCGCCGGCGATCCATCGACCAAAGCTCGCTGGCTCTGTCTTTCGCCCGGGCTTTGGAAGCTGCCTCGGACGCCATGGCACCCATATCCGAGGACCAGGAGGCACGGAGTGAGACACTAGACACTGACTTCGATGTCCAGCACGCAGAGGAGACCATGATTCACTTGGCACAGAATCTACAAACGTTGGAGGAATTCTTAGAGGGCGCCAGTTCGACCAGTTCTATCTCTGATGCCAACAGCGATGACGATGTCTTTTAACCTCTCTATGATCGTACTGAATTCCCTGTTAATATTCCGGTAACCAGGAGGTCGTGGATCAGACTCTCACTCGGCCTTGCTTGTGAACTTTTGTATTCCCCTCCCCCCTGTATAAAGCTATCAGCCTAGTGCAGAAACTCTACATCACACCCGACTCTGAGGCCACATAAAGCTTATTCTCGACCATAACCCAATCTAAAAGCACGTTTAAATTGTGCAGCAGCAGGATTCCAGTCAAACCAGTGAGTTTGGCGGTTTTGAGACATCATCTTTCATTGAAAAAAAAACTGTTTCATTTTGCCGACGCGCATGGCTACGGCGACGCGCGCGCATACCAGAAACCGGAGACTTTTTTTTTGGCCTTGTGGAACGAATTTGCCCAAAGGTGTAGGCAACGTTGAGTATGAACTTGAACAATTTTTGTTTCAGTCAATTTTTTGTTTCAGTTAATTTAGGATGTTGCTTGCATCCGGATAGCGGTAACCAAACGGCAGGAAATAAAAGGTCCACGAACTCTATAGCGCTGTATTACGCAACACGTTACAATGAGAACACTGAGAAATCCCACTTCACTTTTATTTGGCAAGATTAATCTTGCGGACTACAATAAATTGTCCTTGTTATTCAGCGACAGTGGTGACAATGTAGCCTTTGTTTTTTCAGTGGGAAGGATTGTAGTTTGGGGGGGGGGGGGAACACTAAAGTATACCTACAAACTAACCCAATCGGGCCCACAATGTTGCTCTATAGCTGTTAACAGAAAACGAAGAAGTCCCCGTTACACCATCGTGGAGAATCCATTTTAGCAATGAATCAAATAACTTTAAGTACCGGTACTTTTGGACTTCTTGTGTTCGTGCCTTTGGAATTGTGACAGCAGATTTCCGTGGTTAGCAGAGACATGATCTTGCAGTGGCGTATCCAGCTTTTGATGTGGGGGGGGGGGGGGGGGCAACCGCACTCGCACATCCGCGCAGAAATACAGACATGCTTTTTCCCCGGACACTCGGCCACCGTATAAATCAAAAGCGGGGGGGGGGGGGGGGGGGGGGGGGCTGGTAACGCCACTGTGAACTTTGGCCTATATCCTACCATGTACGTAGGACTATAATCTACGACAGATGCCAGTTCAAACAATATTCGAGGACTTTTCCCCCAAAATCTTAACTGCACGCGAAATATTGCCATTTGGCGTAGGGTCAAGAAATGTCAAATATTTACACGCAAACACAAAATGCGTGTCCGTGTACTTGAGAACTGTGTAAATCAAATAACAGGTCAGGGCGCCATAGCAACCAATTAGAAGCTCTGAGGGTGCTATTTGTCTTCATTTGAGGTCTATATGGAGAAAGCTAGGATAGGATTAGCCTAAAGCTGATGCACCGTGCTTTTCAAACTTTGAAGTTTGCAAAGAAATAATTCAATAACTGGTCGTCCGTGGGTTATTTCGTTGGATGTCTCATTCAAAAGTGAATAACTTTCATACTGCTATGGGAAAATAGCAATTGAGAAAAGCAAATTTATTTTCGGGGTAAATCTCGAAATAGCAGGGTGAATGCATCTTCAATGCGAACTGGCCTGTGTTTCATTAGTTTCAGTTCATAGTGTGGAGCTGTAAAAGGGTTTGAAGAAACATCCATGCGCAGAGGAAGTATTTGAAATGGCGGATGTTAACATTGCTCACGATTCGGTAAATAAGAGTAGAAAAATTGCAAGCGCGCACAGAGTATATCTTTACTTGCGAGATGTGTAAACATCTCCGCCCGACAACAATAATATGTTGACTGAAATCACACAGGGGTGTATTAATATTTAAAAAAAAAAAAAAAAAGGGAGAAAGCCGAATAAGTTTTATATAATACTTTCGTGAGGTCTCAGTCTCACTAAGCGCGTGAAACTGCATATTGCAAGAATGCCCGCTTGAACAGGTTTGTTAACGAATGCACAACATACAATGACAGAGCACAAAAACTTTTTTTATCAAAGTTAAATCGGTATGGACTTATAATAAAGCCCTTATATTTCTAATTAAGTGTAATTCTAATTAATATATACAGAAAATGCATCCATAGCACGAAATTATCTCAGATTACATTTTTAGCAAGTGATACCAATTATATCTAAAAGAATAAAAGTATCAGGTCCTTCAAGACTTCTTGAGGAGCTTCAAGGATTAATACCAATGATATCAGCAGTAAATATTTGCAAATAACAATCAGTTACAGTTTTATATATGAAATGAACTTCGTCACTAAGTTAAAGTCATTTAAGATTATTTGCATTTATCCCAAAAGTATATGCTATCAAATTATATATTATCAAAAACTTACTTGGATTAAACATCGTAGTGGTACTAAACTCCCCGTGAAATTATTCCATCTGGCTTGCTGTCATTTAGAATAAATCAAGAAATGTGTTTTCCAACGATCAGTCAATTGACTGATTTGTTTTTATATATAAAGAGTGCTAAAGATGAAAATCGTATAATTCGTAATCAAAAGGTTTTCATTGTTTCTTTTTCATCGAAAGCGTAATATCGACTGAGCTGAAACTTCAGCAGGTTCGGTTTTGAACATTCTTCACTGGATTTTGAATGGGGTTATTATTGGAAACGAATAAAGTACAATCTACAGCAAAATCGTATGTCTATCTTCAGAATAAGTATTATATATTAAATGAAAAATTTAAAATAAAGCAGTATGCCGTACCATAACGTGGTACATGTACAGGTAAAAAAAGTTTATATAAAAACATCACCTGTACTGAGCGTAGCTATTTAGATTTTAACAACTAATATGTCTAAAAAATATATAGTGTTCTTACAAACATATGAAATAGAGCTTCACCAGTATCAGCCTTATCTCATTAGATTACATTCATTTTTGAGTAAATTGGGAAATGCTTCACGATAACTGATCGATAAACAACAAAATGTGTTTTTACAGTTCGTTTTTACAGAAATTATGCATGGAGTTTAATAGAGCCTATTTTCACAGCTGGCCATGGAATAGAGGGCCTACTAAAGGCTTTGAAGCTATTCAGCCGAGTGAGAACCAGGGATTTCACACTGACTTTCAAATACAAATGGAATTGTCACTCATGGAGGTAGGAAACACTCTGGTTCACTGTATTCAAAAGGTATTCATCTATGAATGTTGGTAAATGATCAGTGGTGGACAGCTGGATGTTGTTGTACATGTTTCTATTAAAATGGGATTTTATCATGCTGCCACCATTTCAGTCATGTTCCCTGTATCCAATAACAGTACTGAATGTTTTTGCGCAAAAAGGAACCAGACTATTTTTCCTTCCAGTACGGTTTTGGTTACGTTGATTTAATTGGGTAAAATCCATTCAACAGCGCAACATGGTAATGGTCTACAGAGATTACTTGTGATTATAGTATTTCAAATTACGTGAGATTTTCACAGCTAAATGTAGCCAATAACATATACTATATTCCCATGATATTTCTTGAGTGAGCCACATTGTTTTCAAACTCGGTTACTTTCTCTTTGACTCACCCTGTGGAATTAGAAGTGCATAAATTAGGCCTACCTAGCGCCGAACAGTCATACTGAGATAGTACAGTGCATCCTCAGAGGGCGGCAAAATCTCGGCGAGGCAGAACTCCAGGGAATCTGTCAGAGAGTCCAGATAGCCAGCCAGTTTACCAAGTTCATCATTGACTGTCCGGTAGATATCCAAGCCTTTGTCAAGCTGGTCGTTATCGGTGTAAACTTCTTGCTCTTTCAGGTAGTTGACCGTGTTGGTAATTTCCTCATCAAGCATGGTCTGGTTCATGGCCCACTCTTTCAACATTGCAATGACGTTCCTCTGAAATGGTTTGACGACCGCTTTCTTGGCTCCCACGCGGAATTGATAGGTGACCACGGATTTCATGAGACTCTTTTTGGTAAGCGTCCCGACCTTGTGCTCGAGTTTGACGGCGTTGTAAAGTTTCGCCATGTCGCCAGCGTTGAACAGGACCGCCTTCCCCACTGCTTTGCCCGTCCATGGTCCGAACACAAAGTCCAACGCGCTGACGCAGAGGTTTTCCGCAAGGAACCCAAACCAGGAATTCTCCTGGAAGATGTTTCTGCCCTCGACCACGACTGAGTAATTCAGCTGGATGTAGTCTGCTGCCCCGCTGTCCAGTGTCGTTCTCATGCTATCCATCTGACTTCTAGGAATCTCGACCACCTGCGAGAGATCATCCGCTCCCTCGAACCCACCGTCCGACTCCTCCAGCCAGAAAGAGACGCCATAGTTGAAGAAAGAATTGATGGACAACGACTCTCCGAACCTGAGAGTCTCACCCTCGAAAATCTCTTGTGCTTTTGTCGCATGGCCACAGAGGACGGCCGAGTGGATATTGACGGAGATTTCGTCGGCGGGCTTCCCAAACAGAGACTCCCAGCCCAAGAAGACATTGTCAGTAGGGGGGCTAAGTAAGGTGACTTGATCCACTTGGATATTCAAGGAATCACCGTGACCAAGTTGACACTGGTCCATCCACAGCCCAAACACTGCAATGCCTCCAAGAACAACGAAAATTATACCTACTATGCCACAAACTCCAGTGGCCTTATCCGACATTTTGGCGACATTCGAATCAGCGTTTCGGTCCGAGACGAAATGGATGAATGCGGTGGTTGGTCAGAGCTATAATGCAAAAGATACGGAAAGTTCAGTTCAGTTCGGTTGGAATGGCAAACAATCAGAAATGAACGCATATATATGCACAATGGTCATATGAGGCCAGTGCTTTTGTTCAGCTAGCTTATGGCATGTTTAAACCTTTAGAGTGAACGTGACCTTAAAAATATTGGGTTTGGGGTGACGACTGAATACAGAACGTCCGGCCACCTCTAGTCTTGATTCAAGACGGTTTCAGACCGTATACGCCATCACACGGTAGTTAAAAGTGCGGAGAATGCACCTGCGTCTTTATCAAATAAAAACATCTAAACCCCACTATTATCATATTTATATTTGATACTCAAACTACATTTTGTATATAACAACACCAAACAGCCTAACGTTTTATAGCAGAAAGAGCTATAGCTAATGACAACTGTCCAATCAATCAATTGAGTAGGCCAACAAGTTTTCTGCAGACAAGGCAAACATATCGGTCAAAAGACATTTTCGATACCAAATCCAAAAGTTCATTAAGCTATATGAAAGGCTTTTCTTTTTCCGAGCCTGACTAAACAAAACATAATATAGTAGACGGCCAGCGCGAAAAGGAGGATTTAAGAGGGGGAAGCTTCGTACTCCATTTCAACAACAAAAAAATAATCGGCAGCAGCTTTTTTTTCCTCCTCAATTTGTTTCAGGTTTTCCTGAAATAACCTGTCAGAGAATTGTATCTCCTTAATTGTTTTAGGCACTTGAACTCTTTAACATAGATTCTCTATTGCGAGAAGACTTCAAGACCTCAGCTACCCCCTGAGAAATATGCTCGGAAATTATCTGGGTAGCGCTGCCAAAGTTCCCAAGACTCACCTTGATGATAGCGACCTCTACCGCCGCGGCTGCCTGACCGGCTTTGCCAGAGACAGAGTGTATAATAGGGGAATACAAAAAAACCCAGACTTGTGGACCAAGACTACAGCCATCAGCACCCCGTCACTGACGCATGCACATATGTAAATTGACAAATTAAGGCCGATATTTTCTCAGGTTCAACGCACACAGCAGAGAACTTTTATCAGTGTTTCCTGTTACAGGCAAATCGACCTGACCATTTCCTTTACAGCAAGGACACAATGGACTTTTCCTCAATTGTAAAATTAGGTTCAAAGAAAAAGAGTGTGACGCACCTACAATAATTAAGGGTAATCTTTCAAAGAGGTAACCTTGAATGGCATTGCGTAGGCTACATCGTGATTGTGCTTGTGTCATCAGCAAATAAACCGAGAAAATTACGGATTTGTTTACAAATACTACTACGAGGGGCCTTGAAAGCATCCGTGCGGAATTCATCAGAATCGAAACTGTATTCTATCGCGGGATTTGACTGCTGAACGAGGCTAAGGTCATCCCTTTCACACCGAAACGCTAAAAAGGTCTTTGACAGAGTGCCCACAACCATGGCAAGGTTCCTATGATATGGGGCACCATAAATGACAAAGTTATGACTTTGAAATAGTTAATACCAAACTTATACGTTGAAGGGAAAAAAACAATACATCCCACGCATATACTTAATTCATAACATGTACGGTATCGGAGGGCAACCTCTATAAGTGATATGTTTAATTTCCTTTTTGATACGGCGCTTCATATGTCCTGCTCTCTTATTTACAACGAGAGACAAATAATTCACTGTATTCGACTGAACATTCACTTCCACCGTCTGAAACTATTCGGACAAGACGATTTAGAATGAAATACATAATGTTTTCACTCACGTTTCACTGGATTTGTTCTTTTTCCCCGAGACTTTCAATCTAAATTGAGAGTGATTTCACTCTAAATCGTCTAGTCCGAGTTTAACTCTTTGGAAATTAGAGAGTGGGATTCGATATAAACCTTCTCGCTATCGAAGAAGATTTTGTTCCCCTAAAAGTATTGCAAGGTTGGCCCGTCGATTTATTACTCGTTATTAACCCATAACAGTCCTGAATCTTCCACTTTTAATGTGACGTTTCACACACCATTGGGGGTTAACTAATTGTAAAACTGACTTCGTTCAACAGCCCGTGCTTTTTAGTGAAACAAATCCACAGGAGACTGAAAAAAGGAATAAAAATACAGGTACAGGAGTGAAAAATCTCTTGCACCGTCGGCCATCATTGACTATCAATGGCGATGGGAGTCATGCCTATCGCAAACGAACAAAGACACGCCCTCAAGGTTATATGTGACGTCAGAGGCAACTTAAGGCCGGTGCGGGAGTTGCCGACTCCAAATGAAATTGTTTTGTTTGGAGCAAAGTGGTATTTAATAGCAGAAATAATTCCAATTGCGATAAGGGGACACCATTTGCAAACACTCCAAAATGAAACTTACAAAATACTATGAAACATCCTACTTGATTGTTAGTAAATAATAGGATCAGGCATTCTGTGAAATTATTGCATCTAGTGTGCTGTCATTTTCAAGACAATGCACCTTTTTCTCGCGATTGTTAGGTCCGAACCATCTCTAGAAAAAAAACCGTTTTTTTTTCAAATACTGCTCTCAATCGACCGAATTGTGTTAAGTTTGCAATCGGTTACAAATGTGTGCGTGGATGCGAGTTATATTACCGCTGCCGAGCGATAAACTGGGGTAATGCCACACAAGGATGCAAGTCAAAACGTTTCACTGAACTTTCGAAGCTTTCGCACCTGCTTCAGAATTATTGTATTCCAATCTTTGCAAATGGTATGTGAGGAGTGATATAAATGAACATGGGAGACTTTATTTGTGTTCATGGGCGTCGCTAGGATGTTTCTAGAGAGGGCAAAGCACATTGTGTCCCCCACATCCTTGTACTTTCTCTATCTTCTCAATTTATCATTTTTCGAGGGTTGGCGGGGGAAATGTGCCCACCAGCCCCCATTGACACGTACCCCTGTGGACGCCCATTTTGTTAAATCTGTATTAAATTAATAGCAATATGACTTCACATCTCTTGCTTTTCTTGAGGGGAGGGATGGTTTTTTTTTGGGGGGGGGCGGCGGGCAAGCGCCCCCTTGCTCCCACTCGCGACGCCTATGTTTGTATTGCATGCTGGTGCCAATTTTCAAGATGTTATCAGTGACAGTGATCGACGTGTTTCACTTGCAACCCTATGTTTTGGTAAAATCCGATTGATTTGATCTATATAAATAAATTATACGATAACTGAGTCTGAACACCAGCCAAAGTTTAAGACTGACATCCAGAGACGGCGAACCAAATTATTCGGAAGATTAGAAATAAGGTGACGTTTGAAACAAGTAATAATATACGCGCGAAAGGTCAACTGTTTTCAGTTATTCGAAACGTCTCTAGAGTCCATGCAATGAAAGATCATTCGTAAGGAAGGTTCGCCTGTCTGGAACTAGATTCTGTTTGGGTCGATTGTAGTCACCTTAATTTAAGGTGATTGAGAATCGACCCAAATATAATTTGGTTGCACTATACATTTTTGGCTTGTACAAGACACGGAACGCTAGTCTGAATTGAAAAAAAGTACTTACCAAGTTACCTGGGGTCTTTGCACTGAGTAGCAGGATGGCGAACGGTCAGTTGTGGTGGTCATAAACTGATTTTATAGGCAGATGCCGGACATTGACACAGGAACGCAGGCTATACGTATACTTCTGGTTTCGTTTTCTTTGAACTGCATATTGTTCGAGTTCATGACTCAGAATACACGATGTATACGCGTAACTTGTGAATTGTTTTGAACGATGACGTGCACCGTCCACAATAAGGGCCGCGTGGTGTGGGGACCTTTTTTGGTTCAAGTTGTACGGTCTCGCAATCTTACCTCACCAGTGTAAGCGAAATCACACGGAGAAAAATAGGTCTGACTGAGGCTTTGCGATATGGGGCACAACTAGGGAGATATGTGAATGCAAAATGGGTCTGAAAAGGGGAGAGAAGTTACAGTTTTCACAGAGGGAATGGAGGGGGGAGCAGAACTGACTATGTACAGGATGGGATGGCGTAAAGTGGAATTTGCGACAAATTCATGGTTGAGGATTCGTGCCTGGTTGGGGACAGAGAATTTGGGTTGTGGATTGGAAATTGTACGAGATTTTACATGGGGAGGGGTATAGCTGCATGGAGCCTGTGCCCCCCCCCCCCCCCCCCCCCCCGGATGTGTGGGTGGAGTATACGAGGCGATTTGGGTCCGATTTGGTGTGTGTGTGGGTGTTGATGGAGTTTTGATGGAAAAGTTGGTTTGGGGTATACGGGATCTGCCTCAGAAAAGGGTGTTGGTGTAAAAGAAAGAGTACGGTGTACATGGTGCGATTAAAGACGGTGTGGATGAGGAAGAGGCGGGTTGCAATCGGGCGGATGTTGTTGGGCTGATGGGATGGGCGAAGATCAATGGTTATTGGTGCCCCACCCAAACCTCGACTTTGTAAAATTGGGAATTTGCTAGGAAAAAAATTATTTAGCAAACTTTAAAATGTGCCCAAAAAATCCGGTGGAAACCAGTCACGGACAATAATACATTGCATACCGATTCGGCTGGTAACCGGCTGTTGCTACGAACAAAGGTTTACCTCCCTTAAATTTTCTTTTTGGTAAACAGCTCTACGAAATTTGTCCCCGGTCTATTTCAAGAGTAAACATATAATATTGACGCATGCGTGTAGGCCCTACATCTCGCTATGAGTAAAGTGGTTGTAAACACAGAATACAGTGAACTTAAAACAAATCAGAGGAAAGCATAGTCAGAGACGGCTCAAGTTTACAACTGACACACAAACACGAAATGGTATTAGAACATCATGGTTTTTTTCTCCCGCCACATATTACATATTTTCTTAATTACTGAACTCGATATATAGGTAAAACATAAAGCCATTTAACTTGTAAACCAATAGTATACGTTCGGGTATATCTGCTAAATTATGCTCAGAGCAAACAGTTGTAGGACTTCACATAAGTATAGCTTATGCTTTTGTTGTGTTCATTAACAAGATAAGAGGTAATTTACAACATTTGCCAAACATCAAGAAACAAAATTAACAGTATTACGAAATACCTTACTTGACTGTAATGTCTAAGGCATCGTGTGAAATCATGGCACCTGGTGTGCTCTGATTTGCAATAAAGGTGGGATTTTGTATCAATTTCCAATACAAATATGTTCAGCTGCATTATCGTTGGGGGGAAAAATGACTGTTTCAAAGACTGCACCCGAATTTACCTACTGTAGTTAGTCCACATTTTGTTGCAATCGGTTACACATCCGTGATGAACGGGTGCAAACCAGCTATAGTCTGGTTCCCTAACCTGACAATTTCCTGACGTCTATAAATTGCTTGTTTTTTTCCAGCATCTATGAACACAAAACTTCAAACAGGTCAGTACATTACAATATTTGCTAAAAAATTACTTACCCCCAAATCCATTTCTGAAAATTACAGCAAAAGCAAATGTTGTATATTTCCTTTAAAGACGTGTGTTTTTTTTCTGGCAGTAACAGACGTAATGGCGTCACGTTTTATTTACACATAATTATGCTTCTTATGGGTTGAAAAAAGGGACATCTGTAATCAAGCACTGACGTCATCATATGTCTCAGGTCTATCCCGGTGTATGTGTGGGTGTTTTTTTTTCAAGTGAAGACCAAAACCACACACAATTTAGGAAAACAAAGGTATAGGACCATTTGCTTTTTACCCTTTTTTTTCGTCTGAAGCAAAACTTGCTCAAAAATCTGAAGAAGGGAGCATAATAAACAACTTATTGAAGTTTCATCTCAGCTCAGTCGATACATTTACTTTATACATTTTGAGAAAACAGAGAAGATGTACGCACAATTTGTGGGTCTCGTAACTGATTTGCATTGCTATGGCACGTACAAAACTGTGGCCGTAGGTCATCAATGACCACCTTCAATGACTGTTTTCTTCTCAATGATACCATTTCAGGCGGATTAATGTCACAGGGTATTTGGTACCAGACCTATATTCACTTTGAGCAAGGACTTTCTCTTTAAATCGATATAGGTATTCGTTTCCGGGTAATTTCAAATGTTCCTATACTTGCCTTTAATTAATAACTAATGCGTGTAACAATAGCTGTCATTTTTCTAATACATTCACAGTACATATTACAAAATAATATTCGCTATAACTATAAACTTTTATAAAGCATATATTCAATGGTTAAAATACGCTGTTCCGATATATGAAATAATAGGCCCTTCACCGCTTGATACAAATGATATGAAACTAAAATTACATTATCCTTCTAAGATATGACATGACATCATTATATTCTGCGTTCGGCGACAATTAGATCACGGTATGAATAATGTACAACATAACAATACCAAACAAAATATCAATAGGTTTGCAAAAAGTAGCGCGAAGTGTTATAAAAAGGTTTACATGCGCAATTTCATGCTGTATCTCTCCCAGAAGTACTTCGTTTAAAAGAACACCTAAAAAGTAAAATTTTGATGTGATATGCACTCGAAACGAAATAATTCGAGATTCACATGCTAATGCTTTCAGGTACAATTGTTAAGATTACATTAGATCAACTGGGTTTTTTTGTATAGTGAAATTTAGAAATGCATAATGTCTATATATTATAGTGCCTTTGCATGGCAACCATTTTGATGGTGAATTTGTTTTGTCACACTGGAAACATTTATACATTTATTTTTACTGATTAATAATAATATATAATAACAAAATATTAAAAATAACAAAAGTATACCTCTCGAAAATGATCTGTGTGTGAAAAAGGTCCATCATGGTTATTGATTACACAAATTTTATAACTGGTATAAACTTATATCTGTCTGTCCACTGATGCATCTGAAGTAGGGGCCTAATCTCATATTTGAATTTAATCAAGCATCATGATAATCCAAGGCAAAGTATCGATACCTAAATGAGATAATATATAATAATCATGCACTTTTAACAGTAAACAAATTTCGTCACCGTTTTCACGAAGAGCCACAATTATGTCGATTTTGAAGAAAAAGTGTTTTCGAGATAATCGCAAAAGAAGTTTCTCATATTTTAAAACTGCAAAAAAATACCACTTTGCAACAACTTTGTGAAGCAAGGAAACCATCACACTATTCTGTGTGAGCTGAAGTTTTACATGAACCCAGTAATAAGACTTAATTCAGCAGTTAATTAGTGAAATTTAATTAGTAAAGATATGTGGCTCTTCGTGAAAACGCAAATTCAGGTTTTCGACATATTGGCCCTTTCTGTTCAATGTGTATTTCCATAGGCGCGCGTGAGTACGCGCGCGCAGCTGAAAATGTAACAAAGATGGGGCTCTTCGTGAAAACGCAAATCTCATTTGACCTACTTTTACGTATTTCCGTGCAATGGGTTTTGTACGCGTTCAAAGGGCCAAAATGTATGTGGCTCTTCGTGAAAACGCAAAATTCATTTATCGAGATTTTGGCCCCTTGCAACATTAATGTAACTTGGAAATTAATGATGTTTCGCTTACAAAAACATGTCAAAATGGTTAAGTACATTGTTTTAAAGCAAAATATTGAAAAAAATCAAAATCGAAAAAAATGGTAATTTTTGACATATGTGGCTCTTCGTGAAAACGGTGACGATTTGCACATTCTAATTTAGAAATCTCACAAACCAAAAACATTCAATTTAGAATGCACATTCAGCAAGCTCTCCCGGTTGTGTTTTAGTCTCATTCCTTTACTTTTCAGTGTAAATGTCTTTTAAAACTTGATAAACATGATAAATTTGAGTAAAAAGTTCCCGATTAACATTAAAGGGAATATACAACATTTGCAAACATCGAAAAACAAAACTACCAAGTTTTTGCGAAATACCTTAATAGGATGTTGGTAAATGACAGTCTAAAGCATCCTGTAAAATTATGGCACCTGGTATACTGTCATTTTCAAGAAAAGTGGTTTTTTTGTATCAATTTCCAACGCTGATCGGCCGATCAGCGTTGGAAACAACTGGCTTTTTTTCAAATACCGGCCCCAATTGACCATTGCACTTGTTTGCAATCGATTACAAACCTATGAACGGGTACGAGCCAGCTAGACTGGTTCCCTGACCTTACAATTCCCCAATGTATGTAAACTGCTCTGTTTCTTCTTATATGGAGTCAGGGAACCAGACTACAGGAAAATGATCGTTTTTCTTGGTTTTTATAGCATTTTCAAACCCAAAACCTTCAAAAAGTCAGTGCATCTATATTTGCTTTATATTTCCAACCCCCCAATTCCATCCATTTATGAAAATTACAGCAAAAGCAAATGATGTATATTCCCTTTAAGACCAATGACATTGCTATAAATCTAGGCCTACTTCTAGATAATATTCACTAATAAGTTTTATATATGAAATTAGCTTCAACTCTGAGTACAGTTAATGTTCGTCTTCATTATGATTGGATGGATATAGATTCTAATACCAATACTAAAATGGCGAAAGAAAAATAATCTGAACGGACAAGATCGAACTGAATGGCCCGCTTGTATGCGCTTGATGTAATGCTGAAAAATATGATACCGTATTCATTTAGCTTTTTTGAGATAAGGTAGCCACAAAAGGAGAAGGCTATGTGGTTCAAGTTGGATTCAAACCAAATAGCGTACACTTACTGTGGCCACAATGACAGCAGTACATTTGTAAAATTTGACACAGGGCCGGCCGGCCATACCTAGCGCGTGACGGTGAGACTGACGTGGTACAGTGCATCCTGGGAGGGCGGCAAAACTTCTGCGAGGCAGAACTCCAGGGAATCCGTGAGAGTGTCGAGATAGCCGGCCCATTTATCTATTTCTTCATTGACTGCGCGGTAGATGTCCAACCCTTCCTGGCCAGTCGCGGTGAAAACAGCTGTTTCCTTCAGGTATGTGACGGTGTCCCTGATCTGCTCGTCAAGCATGGTCTGGTCCATGGCCCACTCCTTCACCATTTCATTGCCGTTACTGATGGCGGGATTTATAACTGCACTCTTAGCTCCCGCGCGGAATTGATAGGTGATCAAAGCTTTGTACAGGCTCTTTTTGGTAAGCGTTCCAGCCTTGTGCTCGAGTTTAACGGTCTTATAAAGTTTTGCCATGTCACCAGACTTGAGTATGGCTGCCCTCCCCACCGCTTTGCTCGTCCAGGGCCCGAACACAAAGTCCAACGCGCTGACGCAGAGGTTTTCCGCAAGGAACCCAAACCAGGAATTCTCCTGGAAGATGTTTCTGCCCTCGACCACAACTGCGTAATCCAGTTGGACGTAGTCTGCGGCCCCGTTGTCCAGGGTTTCCCTCATGCTATCCATCTGGCTGCTAGGAATCTCGATCTTTTGCGAAAGATCATTTGCTCCTTCAAACCCACCGTCGTCCTCATCCAGCCAGAATGTGACGCCAAAGGTGTAGAAGGAATTTACGGACAACGACTCCCCGAACCTGAGAGTCTGACCCTCGTAAATTTCTTGTGGTTCGGTTCTGGCGCCACAGAGAACTGCCGAGTGGATATTGACGGAGATTTCATCGGCAGGCTTCCCAAACAGAGACTCCCAGCCCAAGAAGACATTATCTGTGGGATGGGTGGTCAAGGTGACGTTATTCACTCGGACGTTCAGGGAATAACCATGGCCAAGTTGGCACTGATCAACCCACAGTCCAAACACAACACCAAAGATCAAAACGCCGACAATGAAAGCAATCACGCCGCCAACTGAACACTTTTCCGACGACATTTTGAGCGATAAGACAGCCTTCAAAGACGAAATGGACCAATGTAGTCGTTTGTCAACAAACTGTAAGTAAAGAACAAAAAGGGAAACAAACAATCAGATAGAATTGCAATCACTTCCAACTGTACAAATTGTCCAAAAACAGACGGCCTGACGTTTCGATATACTAGCAGTGTCTTACAAAGGCCTTTGAGAAAGACACTGCCAGTGTTGAAATGACAGGCCCTGTATATTGCTGGTCAATACATCGGTCAATAACCAATTTGCAGTAGGTTTATTTATTTCTCAAGTATAAATTGTGGTTATAATTTCCAATTGCGGATTTGTTCCGAATGTCTGTGTATTAAATCACTGGGAACAGCAAATTAAATTGTACCAACATTGGTCGATGATTTTCAATAAACCACGAGGAGAGGTCTGGCGACTCACGACCATCGCAGGAGAGGACTGGCGAGGTGAGGTAAAGACTGGCTCAAGATTTTGTGTCGAAGAGTTTAATATATGTATAGTAGTGTTTCTGTTTTGTGTTTGTCCGTCCAAGGCATCTCGCCACAAGCCAAGGCTTCCAGAAGTTGCCTCCAATCCATACCTTTTTATATTTTCACCTTTTTTGACAAACTGTATTTATTGATTTATATACTTAATCGTGTATTATATGCTTGTTTTTATCATTTTGGTCTGGAAATAAATGTGAGTTTTGAATTGAATTGAACTGAATACAGGGCCTATGGGGAAAAATAAACTTACGCATTTGGAATTGAACATACAAAATTCAATTCAACCAGGCTAGTATTTTCAAGATGCATGGGCGTCAATCGGTGGGGGACGGGGAGAGGGACAAGTCTCCCCCCCCCCCCCCCCACTTTTTAAAGTGTGGGGATATCATATCGTTTGTCCCCCAACTTTTTCTTTGTCCCTGATTTAATTTTGTAGCATACATAATGATTTTATAGCTTAGAATATCTGATTTAATGACTCCAAACTCGAAAATGATGTTTAAAAGATGATTTTTTTGGCCAAATACGTGCAAGTGGTCAGAAATTGCCTCAGATCGCACCACAGAGCGTCTATAATCCAAACGTTTTTGTCCCCCCACTTTTGAGAATCGATTGACGCCCTTGTCAAGGTGTGATGCATGCCTAAGATTTATTGTTCCATAACGACATACATGTAGTTCAGATATATTAATGAATTAATTTGTCATGATTCGAAACAATACAGTGTAGGTTTATTTTAAAGAAGGTCAAAAACTTTAGTCTATATAAGGCGTTCTCATCAAACACCCCAACCCCCCCCCCCAAAAAAAAATCCACACACACAAACAAGTAAATCAATGAAAAATACATATAAAAAAAATAAAGCAAAAACATGCTGAACATGGAGTTGGGTATGAATGATTGCTTTAGTCGAGATTTGGGATTTTTGGATATTCTCTAGAATTGTATAATGTCCTCTAGATAATCTGCCATAATTCAAGACACAAATCGGTGTCGTTTGCTAATTACGTGGCGAAACTGCGGCAACTCAGATTTTGGTTTCGACCAAAAAGTGACAAATCCACAAATTCATCACCTCGTGTGTATATAGCCTCTGAGATTTGCATACTGACAAATTTGCGTTCTACATGGTTAGTCAAAAAGAAAGTGACCGAATTAGAAAGAAAATATTTTTTAAAAATGTGGCTCGCTCTATTTCACAGAAATAACATAGAGATAAAGTACATGTTACTGACTATATTGTAAAAATTTCACGAAATAATTTGCATGCTCTATTCTCAATTTTGATTTAAAAAAATGAACGAAATTTTGCTGTCCACCACTGATCAATTACCGATCTACGAACTGATTAATACCATTAAATACAATGAAACATGGACGTTTTGCCATCTCCATGAATTAATGAAAACTTGTAAAGGAAAACAGACAAAAATCGCCATCAATATTTCAGGGAAAAAAACAGTTGGCTTGCTCCTCGTCTTCAAAACACACAAAAATAACGGTAAAAATAATGTTTCAGTCTTAAATGAAATGATTAAAATCTCGTTTGTATTTGAATACCTGTGTGCAATCTGTAATTCTCACTTAGTTCAATAGCTTCGAATGGCATTCCATGAACAGCTATAAAAATGGGTTCGTTTAGTAAAACATGCATAACTTCTGATTGCATGGATCAATTTCAGTAATTTTTTTTCAAATGAGTTGAAGAACATGCTTTTTTAAGACATATTTCATTGGTGTCTCAAATTTAATTGCTTTTTAAGAAAAAAAATGAATCTAGATCACTTTCTTTTTGACTCACCCTGTATATGCAGCACAATGTATAATCGCGCGAATACCATTTTTGACGAGGTGACAAGTCTGAGTATGCTATATGCCCGTGACAAAGTATTTTCCGTTTTGATGACGGACGGAGGAAAACAAACTATTTTAATTAATTGACGTCTCCTTAATTATAAATGCTTTGACAAAAAAGTAGGCACATTAGGGTTATTGAACATCTGGGCTATCGCATCATTTATACGTTTTCTAATTTTTTTTGAAGCAATGTACTAGGCCTATGCGAAATCGCTATTTGAAAAATCGACCAACTCCAAACGCGATTTTCTCAAAACTTGGTGTTGCACAAACCTAAAATGTGTGAGCAGTCAAAACGGTGATGGTATATTCAAAACTTTCATTCAGGTGTAAATTACACACAAGATTCAAAATCAAATCAATTTGCATAAAAGATTGATAAAAAACCTACAAATTCATTGTGAGCTTCTAGATCCTGAACTCAAGGCCAACCATTTCAGTACCGTGGTATAACAACAATAAATTCATCTGTACATTTCGTCAAAACCTCTGGAATGTTTTGCTAGTATAAAACACCAACATAATTAGATTGTAGTGCCTGTGCTAGTTTCGGGTTTCATCAGGGGAAAAAAGAACCTTTTGTAATTTGTTTTTTTTCCCCTAAGGAATGCAACTTTATTCACTTTTAAATGAAGCATCGACCGAAAAACAAAATCGGCTCACAATATTATTATTTACAACATTCTAATCATAATATGCGGCTCGACAAAATTTAGTTCCCGCGATGTATATAGTTCCTGTCCCCTATTAGAATCGATTATGCAGACATGTGCAAAATAAACCCAAAATAAAATTCCTCGATTACAGGGTGTAGATGCCCCCCCCCCAAAAAAAAGTGATCAGGAAAAAAGATCGGAATTCGTTATAGGAAAAAGAATATCCATTTTTACATGAGCATGAACAAAACATCTTCATTGTGATCAAACGTCTTCAAGGAAATGTTCAGATCAGTCAGGCAGAAATTTGCTCTGTCGGTGCCAAGTCGAAGAAATAAATCATTGTTAATCAATCAGTGTTTCATAAAGTCGATCAAACATTCCCCCCCCCCCCAACTCCATCGTGTTGACACACAGTGCAGGGTCAAACTCCATCCCAATGTAAATGGAAGTGCTATACTGGAAACACATTTCTGAATAAGTCAATGAGTCTGAAAAATAAAAACTTACCAATTAGCTCACTTGTGGTCTTTCTTGACATCAAGATCCTGAGGTTGCGAATGGTCACTGGAGGGACTTGCCGGCCGTTTTTATAGACGGTTGCCTTCGAACACCTATTGTGAAGTTCTAGTGCATTGGTCAAAGGTGCGTGTACCAAAGTCCGCGATATAGAAAGTGAAGTGAAAGCAGATCGGAAATCCCCCTGGAATGCGGATACAAATGAAATGCTTTAAATAATTCAGTTGAAGCTTGACCGGATATCAAACTTGTATACACTCCCGCTTGGCACTTTTCCAAAAAAATATATAAAAAATAAAAATAACAATAATAATAATAAGTATTACCCTGGATTGGACATTTAGGGAGACATCCCCATAGACTTGTGCACACAAGTTTTCAAACTTAAATGTGCCCTAACCCAATATTCCCTTTTCCCACGAATTTCGGTATGTTTACTAATGAAACCATGCACGAGCAACTAATATAATCTAATTGCGACAATAAAATGTTGCCTCTAAAGGGGGGGGGGGGCTGTGACATTAGGCAAACATGAAAATGTCTCCCTAATTTCGAGAATTTGTTTTCCTATCATTTTGACACGCCCCCGGTTTCTCCTATAGTCTGAGTATCACTAGCCTTTAGTCAAGTCCCACGCGCTTACCCGGACACGTGACGCACCCCGGATGCTGACACGTAAAAAGACTAGCACGAGCGGCGAAGCCGCGAGGGCCTTAGCCTTGGTCAATGCTCTCGTCGTTATTCGTCCCGTACGCGGTCAATCGTCGGCATATATCCTCACGCGCTATGCACATGCATGTAAAAATACAGCACGAACAGCGACCTCACGCGGCCACTATTTTTATGCAAATCAGTTGGAGACGATGTCGAGCCTTGGTTCAATCGTCCATGTGAGGTTTTGGGGGTGGTGCTCATTATGTTAATAGCCTTAGCTGACCTTAAATGTCGTTTTCTTATTGGTCGATCGTTGCGTGGAAACTTGCATAGTGAAACGTGGCACCGTACATAATCCATACACGTACAATGCACAAAATCTGTGGTTCCTGTCACGTCCGCAAAAGCCGGAATAGCTGCAAATAATTTGATGACGTCCGGATTTACCAAGGTGTGATTGGACACTCCACATATTAGCCCCGCCTACATTATCTGTATTCGCATACGAGGTCGTGCGCTGGAAATCTAGCGCAAAGTAAAGAAAAACATAAGCTTTGGCCGACGATTGAACCAAGGCTCGACATCGTCTCCAACTGATTTGCATAAAAACAGTGGCCGCGTGAGGTCGCTGTTCGCGCTGTATTTTTACATGCATGTGCATAGCGCGTGAGGATATATGCCGACGATTGACCACGTACGGGACGAATAACGACGAGAGCATTGACCAAGGCTACGAGGGCCTTTACCATGCATCTCGTGGAGAACGCTTATGTTTTTCTTTACATTTGTCTACCGATTTGGTAGACATGCATAATGCATTACCCGTTGTGAATTGACCAAATTCACTGGTAACCGCAAACCACCGTTAGATGATTGGTTTATATTGCTTGATTTATATTACGTGAATAAATGAATTAGTGATTAGTTCCACGAGATAGTAAAGGCCCTCGCGGCTTCGCCGCTCGTCCTAGTCTTTTTACGTGCCAGCATCCGGGGTGCGTTACGTGTCCGGATGGTCCGGGTATAGGCGCGTGGGACTTGACTAAAGGCTAGAGTATCACCCGTTCTCCACGGAGCCCTGTCTATCTCCGGTCGAACGTCTGACATCTCCTGACATGCAAATTTATGCAAGCCGCGCGCCAGCCAATCGGAGTCGACTTTACTAAATCGTGACGTCATTTCATTCCCAAATCAGGACTAACGCTGTGATGGTCAATTCGAATGCAGTGTTTTGTAATACAACAACAGCCGGGAGCGTATTCACGTAAGTAACATGATACCGAGCGCCCCGCGCCGTGACAGTTTTTTTTTTAATCCATATTGATATGACGCGCAACGGGTGAATGACCGAAGACCCGATAGGCCTATAGAAAGCGCCCGCTGATTAGTCAAAATCTAGGAAGTCAAGAGGCGGGGTCTTGCTTAATTAATCAGCAAATCTGTTCGTGCATAATAGACCACTTTCGCCGTGGTCTGCTACATAGACTAGGTATCTCCAACACTAAGTTAAAAAAAATTGGTTACGTGCATGGATGGTCCAATTCCTACTTTTTAATTGATGATTAGAATATCAAACTGATCATGATGTAACAATCGAGTTCACAGCTGTATCATTTTCTCGTAGGTGATCCAAGTGTACAGAATAAAATAATGCTCGTTTTTATTTTCAAAGTATATGTTTGTCAGGTGGTGTTCAGGCCTCCTCCCCCCACATCCCAGGGATGTGGTCGAGTACAGTCCATTACAACTCCATCACAAATCCAGTCACAAGTCCAGTCACAAGTCCAGTCACAAGTAACAGTGGAAGAACAATAGCAAAGGAATGTCCTTGTCAAAACTCATGTGAATAGCTTGCGATATTCTGGAGGACTTGTGATGGACTTGCAGGGACTTGTGATGGGATAGACTATACATATCCCTGCCCCTCCCCACCTCAGGCCATGCTATACCCCAAGCCCTGCTTCCGAATGCCAATCGTCCGGTAAATTGTAATCATCCCCAAGAACTCCGTTCTTGATTTTTTTTTTCTCTTCAAGGGTATCACAGAATCCCAACCCTCCAAAGCGTTTGCAGCATTCAGTGATATTAGTGGCGGGGGTGGCTTTTGGATATCACGCTTACCGTACACTCTAAAAACTGCATTTAAACACAATCTTGCTATCACTTTGTAAACCATGTTTAGAAGCTAAACATTACATGTCCAATTCCTAAATATCATTGTTCAATCATTGCTAAACATTATACATCATTACGCTAAACATGTTCAGTATTTGTAGTTTAAAAAATGATTGCAAGATAGTGTGTAGAAAAGTGTTTTTAAAATTGCATGCTTAACACAGTTTTTGCGTATATGTTTTATTCTGTAACTTTTCTCAACAATTAGACAATTATGGCTAATATCTAAGTGATCACTTAAGTTGGTTCCTAATCTAGACAGGTTTTTTTTGTCAAAATATAAAGTCCGAGACTTTGAAAGTCCGAGACTTAGAGAGGCACTATTACTAGCAGCAGTTCTTGACTTTGTACTGAGGGCGGAAGATGGCGGTGATTGGCCAACTTCGGATTTAAAGTTGACAAATTTTAAGCCGTGTCCCCCTCGTAAACTTGGCAGCTGTTGTTGTGCATCATCCTATTTGGAGCTACACTGTTAAAATTTCTATTTTTTTTTCAAGTTCCTGATGGCATTTCTTTACCCTGATAAACTTTGTGGGAAATACTTCAAGACCTTTTTTTCCTTGATTCAATGCGTGATGATCAGTTGCTCCGAATCGTAGGAATGTTGGCTTTGAATTTTCTGCGCATGAAAGTGAAAGTGAAAGTCAGATTTGACACGCGGGAACGCGGATTACCTTAGAAACCAAGTTATTATTAAAATAATTCACTGTACTTTAGCTTGAATAGAAAAATAAAAAGCTTTTGTGACAATCAAATTCAGCAGAGCGAAGACCGTTCCTGCACTTTTGCACGTACGCTGTAATATTGTAACCGCGCATGCGCGAATCTTATAAAAACCAATGCAAACTTTGCCGTTTAGCATTTTCTAGATATTTTGTTCTCTACTGCAATTTGTAGGTTTAATGTCAAGATAAAATATAAATATCAATTTGAAAAAAAAAATCTTCAAGAATGAATGTTTTTTCACCAATTTAAGCAAATCTATCTGAAAACGTTTCTCGGCATAGATTTCAGATGATTTTTTGTGTTTAAGTTCAACACTCGATTTTGACACGTACATTTTGATTGTTGAGCTAATCGAACACTTCTTGTTGGATGATTCAAGGGACAGAAGATTTTGAAGTCCCGTATTGTTTAACCAAAATAACTAAATCTTTGTTATTCTATACACGACCGCGTTTAATTATTGCCTGAAGGATGTATGTTTTTTCCCTTAAAACAACAAAAGAGGTTCGCAGATGTGTACACCATGTAAATATGAACCTTTCTTATACAAATGCGTTGGTTCCGATTTCTGAGAGAACAGGTGTAGCTGCCTAGGTTTAGAGTGAAATTTATTCAAACGGAAAAATCGAGTTTTAACTCGAGTATCCACTGGATTTAATATTTTCCAGAGCATTTCACTCTAAATTTACAGTGATTTTCACTCTAAATCGTCCGCTCCTTAGTTTCGCTCTTTGGATAGAGAGTTGTACTTTCTTGGCGACCTTGACAAAAAACTTTGAATTTAGAAAAAAAATGATGAAGGGGCAGATCCAGGAATTTTCGTGGGGGGGGGGGGGGTCAGGCACGTCAGATTTTCTCATGTCCGTTTGTTGCGGACAGGCAGACATATAGGTATTTCTATATTGCTGTCTAAATTCCGAAGAGTGAAATTAGGGACTCGACGTTTTAGAGTGAAAATCACTTTCATTTTAGATTGAGAAAGTCTGAAAAAAGAACCACTTCAGTCGAAGCTCGAGTGAAAACTCGCTCTTAACGATTGAAGGAATTTCACTCGAAAACGTCTAGTCCCTAGTTTCCGACTGTGAGAGTGAATTTGCACTCGAATGGAGTGAATTTTCACTCTTTGAAATTTAGAGAGCCGATATAATTTTGTGTGTGTCAGAGCGGGGGGGGGGGTCCCGGAGTTCGCGCCTGTGATGATATGAGGAAATTGGCAAAACACTTTGAAACCAAGTGGGTGTGTATGTGTTGAGATATCCTACTGCACAAAATGAAATTTAGGAGGCGTACAATCTGTGTTGACGTTTTGGAAATAACGCTGGAAATTCGCTGGAACCTTGCAAATTCGAAAAGCAAGCGGGAAAGGGGTGGACACCATTTATTACGGTAATAGGTGGCGCTGCTCCTAAAAGAATCTTATTTTGCTTTATAAAGGAAAGTAAACCCTCAAGTTACTTTTGTCAAAGATTTCTGGCTAGTTAAATTTCAACAGTGATGTACGTTTAACTGAAGCGTTTATAGCGAAACACGTTGATACAG